GACTGATGTCCTATATTCCTCTTGAGCTCGGGTTAATTTTTCCCGGGAACAATCGAAACGGAATAGGATCTTGCACCATCCTTTTGTTAAATTAGTTTTGCAGCCTGTGTACCATTTACTCTTGATTTTGTACCTAGCCAGTTTGTGGCCATAAATTTTCTCCATGGATATTGTTGTCAGTTTATCTTCTAGCTTCTATAAATTTCCACCTTATGGCTTGACGTCTTTGATAGCCCTCGTCTTCCTCGTTTTGGATTCTGGATACTGATATGGCACTTGTGACCTGCAACTTCACTTCCCCCTCGCCTTCTTCTGGCGGTTCCGACCTGCGAAGGTGGAATCAAATCATAAGGAATCAAGTGCTGAAGGGGAATGTGGAGCTTGCAATACATTCATACATTGATATGCAGAAACTTGGCTTCTCTGCTGATAACTACACATTTCCCCTTCTGCTCAAAGCAGCAGGCAATGCTTCGAGTTTGCGTATCGGGTTAACGCTCCACGGCCAGACAGTTAAAACCGGTTTCTGTTACCATCTTTTTGTCCAAACCGCTCTACTGAAATTGTACTCTTCTCTCGGACTCCTTGTTAATGCTCGTAAGGTGTTTGATAAAATGCCTGTAAGAGATGCGGTAGCGTGGAACTCCATGTTATATGTGTACACTTCTTGTGGCCAGATGGATAATGCAATGGAAATTTTCGATACAATGCCTTCACGGGACCTTTCATCCTTCAACATCATGATCTCTGGGTTTGCAGGAGCACAAAGCGTAACCTCTGCCAGAAATATTTTTGATCGAATTCCTGAGAAAGACGTTGTCTCATGGAACTCGATGATATTGGCGTGTATGAACGCTGGAGAGACAGCTGAAGCGCGTACACTGTTCGAGGCAATGCCAAAGAGAAATGTCATTACTTGGAACACAATGGTAATGGGTTACTTAAACAACCAACTCTACACCAAGGCTATTGATTTGTTCTACAGAATGAAGGCTGGAGACATCAAACCTGATTATCTGACTCTGACCGGCACTTTATCTGCCTGCTCTCACTTGGGATCACTCGAAACAGGCGTAAATATACACATCTACGCTGAAAAACTCGAGCAGGCCTCAAGCCCCCATGTAGTAACTGCGCTGATAGATATGTACGCCAAATGTGGAAGCATACACAACTCCTTAGCAGTGTTCTACAAGTCGAAAACTAAGGATATCTACTGCTGGAATGCCCTAATTTCCGGCCTTGCGCTCCATGGTTTTGGGTACGCTGCTCTGAAGCTCTTCAACCAAATGAGAGTGAATTGCATAAAGCCAGATGACATAACCTTCATTGGTGTTCTGAGTGCTTGTAGCCATGCAGGGTTGGTGAAAGAGGGATGTGAAATGTTTGACAGCATGAAAAGGGATTTCGGAATCACTCCAAAGGCGGAGCATTATGGATGCGTCTTTGACCTCTTAAGCAGAGCCGAGCACTTTGACTCGGCTTTTCAACTCATCGAGAGGATGCCGTTTGAGCCCGGAAAGTCGGTCTTAGGAGCTCTGCTTAGTGCTTGTGTGATTCACCAGGACCTTGAAGCTGGGGAGAAAGCAATGGAGCTTGTTGTGAAGAGGGATTGGTGCTTGAGCGATGGGGAATACATGATGTTTTCTAACTTGTATGCATCTTGTGGTCAGTGGGAAGAAGCAGAAAGATGGAGAAATATGATGAATAATTCAGGCATTGTTAAGACTGCTGGCTGCAGTGAAATACAAGTTAATGGAAGGTTTCACAAGTTTTTGGCTGGGGAGCTTGGTGTTGAGTGAGATACACAGACCCTAGCTGCAATCAAAAGCTCAATGGTAAACATGGATCAGGTCAATTAGCCAGGACAAGGTACCCCCGGGGACCCCGATGCATCCAAATTTAGTACCCTTCATGTATATTGAAGTATAAAAAGTATCGCCTTATTAAAAAAAAAAAACTAAGAATTTCGATATATTATAGAATAATTGTGTGTCATGACTTTGGCATTTGGACTTACATCAATGCAGATATATCATCCTCCCCTAAACCATACCAAAAAGACCCAACCTAATTCACAAGTCACGATTATAAACGGCAATACTTTATATCAGTTGATGAGAAATTTCAAGTCACGTGATGAGAGAGATAGATAAAAGAGGGTGTTACAGCCGGTTATAAGACAAACTTTTATTCTCATCACATAACACAATTTTTAGACTTCAAGTCACATTATCAGAAAGATAAATATAATATAAATACACCCAATTACAAGATAAATTATCATCCATCATTGACCGGTTCGAGTAACTCTAACTCAGCTGCCATTGGAGACCCTTTTAACCCATTTACAATCTGGGGTACCCAAAAAGTACCTGCATTGTACCTGGCCACAAAATTGTAGGACCACAAGATCCAATATGGATTGTTCCAGCAGCAAACATTGTTGGTGAAACAAAGAGATCATGTACAACCTGGCCCGTAGTGGGTTTGCACTAACACACCAATAGTAGGTGATGTTAGTGTTAGATATGCCTTCGGTGGCCACCATTTTTGTTAGGAGACAAGTCAATTTGTTGCACCAATCAACCAAAAGATATTTCATTTAATTATTCCTGCAGATAACTATGAGGATTTTGTTTAATCTGATTCAGATTCTCTGTATTAGGGATCATTTTTAATTTTCTGTGGACCATTAATTATTTGTCCTCTCGTGGACGCGAAGGGGTCAAATGAGAGAAATATGAAAGGTGTGAATTGTACGAAAAGAAATTATATGTAATCTGAAATATTCGTGACGTTATATTATGAATTTAAAATATTAAAGTAACATTTTAAAACACAAATGTGCGTGTAAGTCTTTTTTTCAATGTATATGTTGGGTTGCTCGGGCATTGGGATTTGATATTCTATCACATCATGTCCAACGTAGATCTTATCGCCTATGAACCAAACGTAGCTTAAAGAATGAATGTTGTAAAAAGATGGAAACTGTAGAACCACTTTAAAGTTGCGTCTGAATTACACTTCGATAAACTTTGTTTAGCAGAATCAGATTGTCACCCCTCCTATTATGGTGTCATTTTCATTTTTTTTATTTGTGCGGTAATTGTTAAGTCACGTTAATATTTTATATTAATTTTTTATGAAGATAATAAGACAAAAAGTAATAGAAAAATAAAATATTAACATGACTTAACCGTGACCGCACAAATATGAGGGAATGGGAAGGGTATCATAACAGGAGGGCGGACAATCTGCCTCCTTGTTTAGCATGTCCCTAGGAGGACTAGGATTTTACTAGTTCCATTCTCTCCCTTTATATTTTTTGGTGTGTAAAAAATACAGCTTGGTACATCATGTGTCTTAATACAAGAGGCTGAAATTATTTTCTTAAATAAATTTGGTATTTGGTATACCAGACATTGTTCCCGACGCACTTAAAAGTCTCTCATTTTATCGTCTCTTAAACAAAAACTTGCCCAAAAAATTGTTATGATAGTTTGGTTTTAGAGATACAATATAATGACAAATGAGATTATTAATATTTAATGTTAAATATTGAATCGTACATCATGAGTTCAAATACCACAAACGGCAGTTTTTTAATAAAAGAAAACATAAAGTTTTTTAACATATTATCAATTATATACACTACAAATTTCTCTATATTCATTTTTGGGAAAACAAAATTATGAGTCTAGTTTTGGATTAATGGCTTTGTTTCGTGTATTAGTGGGTGGTTTGTTATCTATGTGCTGCCGGCCCCCTGATTTAGAAATGCTTACAAATGGACCAAAGTACGAGTCCCTTTCTCGTTTCTTTGGTTGTTTTTGTCATATATTTAAGCAGGTGATTAATATTTTAACGAGTTTTTGCGTTGTCTTTTTGCCGACATATCCGAAAACTTGAAACAAATTAGCCCTAAACACATTACGAAGTGTTTTTTATCTGCATTTGGTTTTGCTCATGTTTTTCTTTGTAGCTTTTGAGGAAATGAGATAGGTGAAAGGGGTAAAAATTAGAGTAATTTCACATGAATTACAGGATTTATTGTAATTTTTTACATGATAAAAATATTGAATCGATGTACCGAAATTAAAATTTTGTTGCACCGTGTCATCTACGTTCATCAATTTTTAATTTAAAAATTACACTAACAAGTTAAACTTGGTATTATTCATTTTATCTTTTATTTTATTTTTATCGTTAAAATTTAAAAATTTCAAATATTTTTTTATTATTATTTTTTTAAATTGTATATACTTGGACGTGATTTTCTACGTAAACTGAAAAACACTGTGATATAAGATTAAATTTCCAAGAAAATATGCGTGTCCGACAGGCCGAGAGGAAAAGGGGGCTTGAAAGAAAATTGTTCGGCTCCTTAACGTAGAATTCAGAAAAGTGCCCGAAACAAAATAAAAATAAAGACAAACATGAAAACACTGTTTGACTTGGTACATGACGGCGTGAGTTTAAATTTCATCGGTAACTATCTAACAAAATCTATAATTTGATAAGAAAAAAAAAACTGTTTAACTTCATACTTAAAATTACAACAAAAAATATACAAAATTCCCTAAAAAAAATATAATACCCGATAGAAAACAACTTTGTACTTAAAATTACAACAAAAAAATATACAAAATTCTATATATATATATATATATATATATATAATGCCCGATAGAAAACGACTTGAATGAAACACTGTTGAAGTTCTTACATAAAAACACAGTCTAACTTCGTACATACAAAAATGAGAATTTTTACGAAAATCTTTTGATACTGTTTATTTTAATAAAAAAATTATATTTTTATATTTAAAAGTCAATTATGTTACTATTTATTTTATCTTTTATTTTATCTTTATAGTTTTTAATTTCTTAAAAAAATAAAATAAAAATCCTAAAACCACCCAGTATTTTCTGCTTACAAAAACCATGAATAGTGTGACCAGAAGAATTACCCAAAGAGATGATTCTAGTCTTCCAAAAGTCCTCTTTTTCCTTCTCTCTCTTTCTCTCTCCTCCGATGATTTGCTCTTTGACTTTTCTCTCCTCATTCTCTCTTCTTCCTCTGTCATTCCTGAAGAATTATTGACACTCCCTCTCTACTCTCTCATCCCACCTCTTGCCGCTTCGTCTTCTCCCAGATTCCGGCAAAACTCCGCTCGCCGGCTGTTTTTTCACCGGACTTCTCCACCGGGCATGTGAAGGACCCCCAAGCATCTCAATTGATACTGTTCTTTAAGTAAAATTTCTTTCTTGGTTTCATTTCATCAATATCTTGCAGTTTAGCATCTGGGGTTTTCTTACTTTTCATTAATCTTGTGATTGTTTCCCGTTTGATGTGAATTTTGTTTCATTGAAATCTGGGTTTTTATTTTTTTATTTTTTTATTTTTATAATTTGTGCTTTAAGGCTTTAAGGCGGTCTTGGTGTTTCCCAATTAAGAAGTTGATCTTTCTTTATTTCCAGTCCAATTCTTGCTTAAAGTTTGCGATTTTTATTCCTTAATCTGACTTTGTGTGTGTGTGTTTATATGTATAGTCGCTGCTTTTGAATGTTAAGATCATTTGATTGTTACTTAGTAAAGTTTAATACTGGCGGTTTGGCTGTGATCGAATTGATCCAGTCTCGAATAGTGTGGCATGTGAGATGAAAACAGACTAACAGAGGAAGAGGAATTGATACATCTGTATTTGATTTACAAAGTTTGGCAAATTCTTGTCATTTCTTTGGTTTCCTGGTGATTGATATCCATCTTCATAACCAAATAGCAATAAGTTCGAGTATCTAGAAGTTCTAGTGCATCCACATCCTGCAGTTTCGTAACTTTCGTACAATGTGTTACTAAGATCTTTTGGTTTTTGGCTACTAAAGTAGCTATTTAGCATTCAATTGTGGATTAAATTTTTTGATCGAGTTCTTATTTAATTTCAGATTGGAATGGGGGTATATCTCAGCACTCCTAAAACTGAAAAGTTCTCTGAAGATGGCGAGAATGGCTGTGTCAGATATGGTTTGTCTTCCATGCAAGGATGGCGTGCCACAATGGAGGATGCTGTGAGTACATAAAACTTTGCTCTTCCTATTATAAGTTGTTTTGAAAAGATAAATCCTTTTATGTCCATTCTCAGAAGTTTATACTGTTGTATCTTTCTCCGTCTTTATTTAGCATGCTATAGTTAGGATTCAACTGAATATGATATTACTTTACATGCTCAATTGACTGCATAAATCTAATTCCACTTGGCAGATTATTATTTGTCCTTTTAATTAGGATAGAAGTCAATTATCTTGTGGCATGTGATGGTGCAGCTATAGGGTTGGGTTTGGCTGCTTCTTCCTTGTAGCTTTGTAGTTTCCCTTGGTCTGTTTGTTTATTTGACTAGTCTTACTGGTGATTTCTGTTTGTCTCAGTAAAGAAATAATCCGGACTGTGGGAAGTAGTACTGTACAGAATCTGGTACTTGCTTCCCCAATTGGTAGCACCAACCCCTCTTGGCTTCTCAAAATCTACTTCTCTCTCTATCTCTCTGTGTACTAAGTCTTTTTACTTTATCTGATAAGTTGTTGGAAAAACTAAAAACTCTCCTGCATTCATCAAAAGATTTGCATCCTGTATAAGAGGAAGTTCAAGTGATTATTTTGTTTTCAGAAACTTGTGTCACATTATTAACATGCTGTTTGTTACAATGATTTCTTTTGTTAGCATGCAGCATATCCTGATCTGGATGCATCCACCTCATTCTTTGGTGTTTATGATGGCCATGGAGGTAAGAATTTGAAATTTTCGGTATCGACACGTGCACTGGACTTAATATGGTTCTGTTACTATATCATTATGGAGGCCTTTCTTTCCCTCTCTCTCAACTGAATGAGTTCTGTTTGACCTGCATTTTCACTTTGTGAAGTATATTAGCAATATTTGCAGTTATTGTATAATTTGTATTATATCTAACTTAAATCCAATAATCTTTTAGGCAAGGTAGTTGCTAAGTTCTGTGCAAAATATCTGCACCAACAAGTGCTCAAGAATGAAGCATATGCGGCTGGAGACATAGGAACGTCTGTTCAAAAAGCTTTTTTCAGGTTACTACCTTTGATGTACTTAAATTCAGTTGCCTTCTACTGTTTTCTAAGAGGAGGGGATGAATACAATTAGTCAAGCTCCATTGTTTTGGCTGTGCTTCCGTAAGATCACTTGAGCTTAACGTGCCATAATATTGGCCATATGGTTTAAGCCTATATTGTCCTGGATCCCTATGAGATCATAGATACTTGAGATGGTAATGCTTGTTCAAGTTGTAAATGCTTAAGAATTTAAAGAAAATAGACTTTTATTTCCTATCCTTAATGCAGAATGGATGAAATGATGCGCGGACAAAGGGGTTGGAGAGAGTTAGCTGTTTTGGGAGATAAGATAAACAAGTTTACTGGCATGATAGAAGGGTTGATTTGGTCTCCGAGGAGCAGTGATAGTAACGATCAAGCTGATGATTGGGCTTTTGAGGAGGTAGGTGCAAGAACCATAGAGTTTATTGACTTTATAGTCTCTTTGTGGAGCAGATTCTAATCTGCTTTATCTGGCTTTGGTGCATACTAAATTGATTATTTTGATTCTTGGGTAATTTAGAACTTAATCATTTGGTAATGCCATACGTTCCATTTTACATTCAGATGATCCATCTTAAACCAAACACAGTCAAGAGATTATCTATAGTACTTGGGGACATGCCTGCACACACTAAGTGATTTTATATAGTACAAGTAGTTTGTTTCATTTGATTTCATAATTTCAATGAATTCCATAAATTTAAACTGAACTACATTTTCAGGGGCCTCACTCTGATTTTACTGGTCCAACTTCTGGGTGTACAGCCTGTGTTGCAATTCTTCGAAACAAGCAACTTGTTGTGGCAAATGCTGGTGATTCACGCTGTGTGATATCAAGGAAGGGTCAGGTAATTTATTATATTTCTGTCGTTTTGCATTCTTGTTATGTTGATTGCTTAAAATATAGAATCAAGACTTTTCTTTTCTATATCAAATGGTTAAAAGTGATTAGCGGTCTAACTTCTAAGGCTATTTATATGTGATCACATGTTTATAATTGAGAATATTTCTATATTCTTGTTTCCTGCTGTAAATTGTCTATAGTTGTCTGATGTCATTTCTCTTTTCAGGCATATAATCTGTCAAGGGACCACAAACCCGATCTTGAGCTTGAGAAGGAGAGGATTTTAAAAGCTGGTGGTTTTATCCATGCAGGACGAGTCAATGGAAGTTTGAATCTTGCAAGAGCTATAGGTAATTTTACTGCATGCATGTGAATTCTTAGTAAACTAGCTTTCCAAAATCTCCGTTAGATATGTATCCAAAGGAATTAAATTATGTTTGAAATTTAAACTTATTGATGTCTGGAACTCCCTCGGAATACATTCACGGTGCTTTGTTGTATTCTACATTGAGTGTTTGAGTGCATGCGCATATTTCTGGAGGGGGGGAGCTAAGTGGAGAGCTTTTTGTAATTCCCGTACTCATTAATTTTGCATATACTGCAGGTGACATGGAATTTAAGCAGAATAAATTTTTGCCAGCTGAAAAACAAATTGTAACTGCCAGTCCGGACATAAACACTGTATGTGTATGCTTGCAACACTGGAAAGCAAAAATATTTACTTACAGTTATTTACATTTTGAAGTTTCCCAAAATTGTTTTGGTACCTGTTTTATTGTAAAAGCAAAAATATTTACTTACTGTTATTGGCTATAATTTCGTCTTCCATTTTAATTTATTTAATTATATTTTAATTAGGTTGAGCTTTGCGATGACGACGAATTTATTGTGCTAGCATGTGATGGCATCTGGTATGTGTCTTAAGCTTTTCTGTCTGTCTTCATATATTTTTTGTGCAATATATGCTTGCTGATATGATTCTGCTTTTGGTAACTCAGTTTAATGTTTTTAAGTTATGGTATGATTGTCGGAAAGTGAGTTGATATTTTTGTTAGTTTCTTTCAGGGATTGTATGTCTAGCCAGCAAGTGGTAGATTTTGTACATGAACAACTACTCTCGGTGAGTACATATTTCTCTTTCTCTTTGGTTTTTCTGGTTTGAAAACACGGACAACACTTTTGCAATGCAGTTGAAGTGGTTCGGTATTAAGTGATATGCTGCTTGATAAGGGGGTAAGAGTGCTCTCAACTATTACTTCTCTGAGTTCTCTCTGACGCTTACCATTGTAAATCATGCAGGAAAGCAAGCTATCTGTGGTGTGCGAGAGAGCCCTTGATAGGTGCTTGGCGCCATCGACTGCTGATGGTGAGGGATGCGATAACATGACCATGATCGTGGTGCAGTTCAAGAAGCCTGAACAGTCGACTGAATCCGAGGGTGGGCAATCCTCACCAACTGAAGTAGCAGCCGGAAGTTATTCAAAGGGGAAGTTATTCAAAGGCATATGAATGTGAATCGAAGTAGTTGGCCCGCTGTGTGCCGTGGAATTAGAAGAGAGATTTGCATCACGTTTTTACTCTTTCATAAATGTGAATCTCCGATTGGTAATTGTAGATGCTTTTGAACATAATTTTACTGTATCTTTGAGCTTTACCAGTAAAATGATGTCAACTGCTTGATTGTTCCACTGTCGCCATGCCCATCTGGATAAAACATGTGTTTGCAGTGGGTGCTGCCATCTTAGAACCGCAAACAAAGCGGGGTGAGAGACATGAGACCAATTCGCCAAACGTGTTTGCAGCTTCGACAGTGTGATGGGGCGTATGGTAATTAAGTCTAGAGATACGATCTCTATCAAATATGTTAGAATGAGGTTCAGAGTTCAAATCTTACCGAATGCATTTGTGGTATTATAAATTGGAAATGCGTTCTTAATTGGTAGCATAGTTACTTAGTTTGCAATAAAAGATCTTTGCAAATGTAAGAAGTGGTCTTAAAAATTGGATTTTCAATCAACATTAAGTTTATAAGAAATCATCACGTCTCAACTCTCAAAAATTCTAACAAGGGAAGGACAAAAATAAAAAATCAAAGAAATAAATTTATAAAAAGAAAAACTAATGAAAATGGTTTGAAAACTTTGAATTTTAACGATATAGACAAAATAAAGGGTAAAATGAGTAGTACAAGATTGACTTTTTAGTATAAAAATATGATTTTTCGTTAAAATAAACAGTATTGTGAACTTTTCGTTAAAACTCTCTTTATAAAAATCTTGCTTAAATCTGAAAATTCAATGAGGATATTTTGGTAATCTTAACACTTCACCATCTCAAAGCCCCAACGGTAAAAAGCCTTTCTCAGCTGGAAGCCTACAAACTGCAAAAAAAAAGCCATGAACAAACAGCTGCCAGTTTTGATACATAAAACACCCTTTTTCTGCTCCATTCCTCTCTCTCTCTCTCTCTCTCTCCACCTTACTACTTTCCCTCTCTAAAATGTCCTCCCAGCTGGCCAAAACTTGCGTTTTTTTTAGAGAAGGGGAAAAACAAACAAAAGAGAGAGATAGCAAATTGGAGAGAGAAGATAGGTATGTCTGCAATTGTCCCTCCAATCAAACTCCCACCACACCACTTTCTCAAACCCAAAACTTTATTCACTTTCCACAATTGCCCTTCTGTAACATTCCATCTTCATCACTCATTTACTCTGTATTCTTATCTCCCACCTCCATGGGCCTTTTCGGGTTCTCACAACCCAGAGAGTTTCTTCTCGCAGACCCGAAAAAGAACAGATAGATATCCATCTGTATACACACAAAAAGACCATCTCTCTTCATAGTTGCCTTTATTATTTATTTGTTTTTATTTATTTATTATTATTTGTTATTATTCCTCCCCCTCCTCCTCTGTCTCTCTCTCTCTCCTCTGTCTATCTGGAATCGAAAACCTTATCTCCTTTTTCGATTTGGGTTTTCGTTTCCTTTGCTTAATCTCTAAGGTTTTATCTATGGAGATTGATTTATAGTTTTTCACAAAAAAATCGTATTTTTTATTTCCTGTTTGGATGTGGATTTATAGTTTTTCACTATTTAACGGTCAAAGATTCGGGCTTTGAGCAGGAGATGAAAAGGGTTCAACTGGGTTTTGAATTTGATCGCTTTTCTCTCTTGAATTTTGTTGATTTTTTGTGATTAATTCGGGATTTTGAAGAGGAAGATGAAAAGGGCTGCTGGCAATTCCAAGCAGTCTCAGCCTGCTGATGAGGAAACTAGGATGAAGTTCAGACATGAAAGTCTTCTGCAAGATTACCTCGAACGACAAAAGGTTTGATTTTTTGTTCGACTTGTGTTCTGGTCTTGTCTTTCTTATTGAACTTCTCTGTCTAATTCTTCTTTTTTTGTTTTTTGTTCAAGTCTTGTCGAAATTTTGTTTAGTTATCATGTTTGTTTGATATTCTAGTTAGTTTGTTGTGATTGAGAAGAAGAATGAGAATAATTCTGAATCGACAGAATGAAGTACCAACTCCAAAGTTAGAGTGACAGTTTTCTGACAAGACGATGTATAATTTAAATTCTAAACTACTCTAACTACGGGGACAGAAATTCGAACTTTAGTACAAGAGTCGGGCACACTGCCCTGCCTACTGACCTAACCCGCGTATGCTAGACTAACAGTTGTTATAGGAAAGCTTCAATTTTCTAGGATCTTAAATCTCCAATGAATTCAAAATCAAGTACTTGTCTTTATATTGCTAAAGTTTGGAAGCAATCCGTTGAACACTAGGTGGACGAAACGAAATTTAATCGGGTTAATTTCTGTGTTTTTTTGTCGTATGAATGAGTATGAACATTGTTTCTTTTTATGTTTTGATAGGAATTTGTATCAAAGAAGAAGAAGTTGCAAGCTGCAAAGCAGAAGAGAGACATTCTTTTGGCAGAAACTCGGTATGATTTTGTTCTTCTGGTTTGTGTATGCCAATGTTTTCTGTCCACAAGTAGGATATGCTAATTTGCTTTTCTCTTCGGAGCTTCAGATTTTTGAGACGAAGGCATAGCCATATGCTGAAGATAAAATCAGCAGAAACCGAACCAGAAGCCCGACATCAGAATTCTGATGTACAACCTAAGAAGTTGGCAAAGAAGAGGAGAAAAGATGCCAATGAAGCTGTTCTAAATAAACCCTCTCATGTCTCGCCGGAAGAAGGAACGCATTGTTTCGGAGCCCGGAAGAGTAGAGAGGAAGCCTAAAAATTGTGTAGTTAACGACAAAAGGGTTGGAAAGAAAAAAATTGCAGTGCAAGATCAGGTTGCTCTGAATGTTTAAATTACTTCGTTTACAGGTAATGGAGAAATTTCTCTGTTTTAGTGAAAGCCAAAAGGCCCTCAATAATCCCATTGTCATTCTTTTTCGGTTTTATTATCGTGTGGTGAATGTCCGAACGTTCCTAGGATACTATCCTCCATGCAGGATTAGTATCCTCCTCGCTGGATTACGGATCAGTAAACATGTCATTATATTATATCAGTTACTTTCAATGCAACCTGGGATGACATCGTTTAACATTTTAGCCATTCTTTGGGGGCAGTTCACGCAAAACCCTCCAAATAAATCTTCACAAAACAATCTCAGCAAGACGAAATATCAACATGTACTCAATATTTGATCGATTACGTACGCAGTAGCTCCGTTTAATAACAGGTGTGAAAGAGGTAAATAGATACAGCATTTACACACATATGTTAACGAAACCGTACAAAGATACGGGAGTCAAAGATAATATCCAATACATGTTACTTCCTCAGATACACATCTACGCTCAGAAGCAAACATCAACAGCGGAAAAATGAATTTGTACGTGTTGAGTTGTCGCCTCAGATATAGAGATGGGTCAGATGTGTCTCTTGGAAGTCAAGTTTGAATGGGAAGCTGAGCAAATGTTCCTACATTGGGCTGCAACCGCCAACCATCATGTTCTTGTAAACTGCATTAGCATGGTCTGGATCTCCGGATGTGCCGTACAGTGGAATGAGAGCATTGTAGGTAAACACATCAGGTTCAAGACCAACAAGTTGTAGTTGTTCATAAATCCTCCCTGCTTGCTCCACCATTCCAGCAAGTCCAAGATTTGGTGTGAACGAATTGTATGTGTAAAGATCAGGAGCAATTCCTCTAGTCCGCATTTCATCATAAAGTGCGAGCGCTTCCTCTACCCTCCGTGATCTTCCAAGTCCATTTATCATAAAAATGGTAAGAAACTGAGTCAGGATCGAGGCCACTTTGTTTCAACTCCTCAAAATGGTCCACAACATCAACTACTCTCCCCGCCTGGCAGAGGCATTCTACAAGAATGGTGCCGGACTTCAGGTCCGGTCGTATTCCTTCTTAATCATTCTTCTAAACAACTCGCACGCAGCTTCCACATCACCTGTTTCTGCAAAACCTTTTATAAGAACATTACAAATAGCAGAATTCGGTTTGCATCCATAGTCTGCCATCTCCTCAAAGGATTGCATTGCTTAATCTAGTCTTCCCGACTTGAAAAGTCCATCGATGAGAGGGCCATATGTACTTGTTTGGAATGTTTAAAAAGGTTGGGATCAAGGAATGACACTAAAAGGTTAGAGAGTTTCAGGTACTTGATCCTTTTATTTATCATTCTTATAAAGGGGGACATGGCACAATCCATCCCAACTTAGGAGCTGCATTGCCCGCGAGCCTCAACCGTTCGGTGAATTCCTTTAACTGTTTACGCAACGCAACTGACCAAATCCAACACTAGACTGCCTAGAATAAAGAAAGAAGGTTTGCACATTTGAATCAGCAAATTACGTAAAACTTACAGACGTGTTAATTCATCGCCAAGTGCGTTGAAATTGAGTTAATACAACAATGATAACGAAACCAAGTAACACTTGCTATGGTTCTCAACGTTTGTGAGAAAGCCAGGTGACACTGCATTACCAAATCTGCAACAAGAAAACCTGTATGTTAGTCAATGCAGAGTTCAGGAGCCTCAAGAACCCTGCGCGTGCTATAAACACATACCATTCCCAAATCAATCAGAGGCAAAAACAAGATAGTGACGGAGCATGTGAGAGAAATTTAGATCCCCGTCATCCACATATATTAGAGATTAAAGGGTTATCCAATTTGATTTTGGATTTAGCAATACCATTTGATACATTATATGTAACCCTTAATTGGCTACACTTAAGCCCTATCAAGGGATCAATGATCTATATCCAAGGGCGAGAGGAGAGAAATTGAACAAGTCACAGAGAAACTATCAAGTTAAAAGACTCACTGGAATCAGAACTTCCGAAAAGTAAATGAAAAAAAAAAACTCAGTTGCGTACCTCGCCTATTTAAGAAAGTGTAGTTTTTGGTTTTTTATGCATATAAACATCAGTGACAACTCCGCGGCATGCTTGCCCATGCCTCTGCGACTGTCAGGAATACAAGCAAAACATTTAATTACAGGGAAACAAGAAGGCATTAATACAGGAACATTGTGATCCGGTTTACAAACATGTTGCCCACTTACAATAACATATAATATGTATTTGATAATACAAAATTTAACAAACACACACATACAATGACCGTTACAATTACGGTCTCACTTGCTGAACACACCTGTCCAAGCCAAAAAGAGTTGAGTTCGTTAAACTTGCATCAGCCGCGGTATCATCCATGCTCAGATCATCATACCTACAAAATGACCAGCAGGGAATGACGACTTCGCCTAGGCTAAAGTACTGGGAATGTACAAAAAGGATACGAAACATTTAGAATTCAAAAGACACCATAATGCATGAAAGAAGGCATACATATATTGGACAAGTATATTGAACAAAAAATGGCAGGTCACAGCCATATATAATATGCTAACAACAACAACAACAAAGCCTTTTCCCACTAAGTGGGGTCGGCTATATGAATCCTAGAACGCCATTGCGCTCGGTTTTGTGTCATGTCCTCCGTTAGATCCAAGTACTCTAAGCCTTTTCTTAGAGTCTCTTCCAAAGTTTTCCTAGGTCTTCCTCTACCCCTTCGGCCCTGAACCTCTGTCCCGTAGTCACATCTTCGAACCGGAGCGTCAGTCGGCCTTCTTTGCACATGTCCAAATCACCGGAACCGATTTTCTCTCATCTTTCCTTCAATTTCGGCTACTCCTACTTTACCTCGGATATCCTCATTCTCAATCTTATCCTTTCTCGTGTGCCCACACATCCCACGAAGCATCCTCATCTCTGCTACACCCATTTTGTGTACGTGTTGATGTTTCACCGCCCAACATTCTGTGCCATACAACATCGCTGGCCTTATTGCCGTCTTATAAAATTTTCCCTTGAGCTTCAGTGGCCTACGACGGTCACACAACATCCATCCAGCTCGTATTCTATGGTTGAGATCTCCATCTAATTCTCCGTTCTCTTGTAAGATAGATCCTAGGTAGGGAAAACGGTCGCTTTTTGTGATCTTCGCTAAATTGCTCCGGTCATTAGTGTGGATAAGTATATAAATGGATAGAGATAGGAAAGCAAACACAAGATGTACGTGGTTCACCCAGATTGGCTACGTCCACGGAATAGAAGAGTTCTCATTAATTGTGAAGGGTTTACACAAGTACATAGGTTCAAGCTCTCCTTTAGTGAGTACAAGTGAATGATTTAGTACAAATGACATTAGAGTACAAATGACATTAGGAAATATTGTGGGAGAATGATCTCGTAATCACGAAACTTCTAAGTATCGGAGTGTGGTATCGACTTGCCTTATTTGTCTCATAGGTAGATGTGGCAGCTTCTCTGGAAGTACTCTTCCTCCATCCAGGGGTGGTATCTTTAACTGGTGGAGATGCACAAGGTAATGTATCAATTTCACTTGAAGCTTACTTGTAGTTTCAGGCTTGGTCAAGCGCGATACAAACCATGTAGTAGGAGTCCCCCAAGTCGCCGAGCTAGGGGATTTGCTGAAAGAGGTGACAGACAAGGTAAGCAATCAGAGCTCCGGCTGATTGTTCACCTTCTCCCCATCTTGCAGCAGCATGAAGGATAAAGAGAAGAAAAATGAGAAGATATGATATAGGATACTTTTGCTTTTGAAGAAGTAACTTTCCACAGGCTTATTCTTGAACTGAGCTGGAGGGTTTTCTGGTTTCCTCCAGAGTATAAGGCCGACTGAAGAATTTGAGGGTCAAAACAAGTCCATCAAATCTAGAGTACGTTCGACCCTGCTGATATGGGATACTTTTGCTTTTGACAAAGTAATGGATGGATCGGCACGTGTGCTGTTACGCTTGTCTCCACATGCTTCCTTGTATCCTTCGCACTTGCCCTATCTGTTCCTCAAGCAGATGCGGTATCTTCCCTGGCAACATAAGATGTTGAACATGAGTACTCGAGAGCAATGCCAGGTAAGTAATCAGGTAAGGGGTTCCAGGCTGTCAGTTCCTGGCTGGGAGCTTGATTTCAAGTGCTGACTGATTGATTGCTCTCTTTCTCCTTGTCTTGCAGGTAAAAACAAGGCCAAAGGAAAAGACAGGGAAAAAGCATGATATGGGATACTCTTGCTTTTAACCCTGATGATATGAGATATTCTTGCTCTAGTATAGCTTGTTTGCAGAGGTATTATCGGGGGGAAAGAAAGCTGAATATTTCGAAAGGCTTCGTTGGGAGTGGCCTCTCAGATATGAGGAAGGGTTGAGCATTTTTGCAGGTCTGCCTGTCCGTTGGGGATGGAGGTCGACATATATAGGAGTCTCCCTAACAACAAGTAGTAATGCTATTCCTTTACCCTGCTTGGTCATAGCACGGTAGTGGGAGCTGCCAACTTCACATGTTTTAACTCTGTCAGAGCACTTTGAAAAAGTGGTATGTGGTATCTGGCTCTCGAGATTCGGAGAACGATGCTTCTTCGATTTTTGAGAAAGCAATCATGGTGGGGGTCTGGCTCTCGAGATTCGGGGAGCAGTGTCTCTTCGATTTTTGAGAAAGTAATCATGTTGGGAGTCTAGCTCTCGAGATTCGGAAGGCGGTGCCTCTTCGATTTTGGAGTAAGCAATCTTGTTGGGAGTGTTTTCTCGGATGTGAGTAAAGGTTGGGCATGTTTGCTAGTCTACCTTGCCACGAAGCACGGAGGTTGACACACAGGGACTTTCCAATTATCCAGCAGTGGTACTATTCCTTTACCCTTGTGGGTAATAATATGGTAGCTAGACCTTCAAAATTTATGTGTCTAAACTTTGTTAGTGCTGTTTCTTTGCTATTCTTTTACCTTTCTTGGTCAGAGCGATGTAGTGGGAGCTGCAAGCTTCACGTGCTCAACTTTGGCAGAGACTTTGACAAAGTTATCTGTGGTACCCATGAGCTATTGTTGCGTGTGGGAAGTGGGTGATTGAACAGTAAGATTCATGTGCTTTCTACTTCACCAGAAGTCTTCAACAGAATGCCCATAATTTCCGCAAAGCTGAGTGTGCGTGTGACAGGTGCTGACAAGGCTAGAAAAGAAGGTGCCTCTTTGATTTCTGAGATCGGCCCTCGTGGTCTCTGAGCAGCCCAGCTTTTGAGAAAGCGAGCGCCTCTTCGATTGATTCGGAGAACGATGCCTCTTCGATTTTTTGAGAAAGCAATCATGCTGGGGGTCTGGCTCTCGAGATTCGGGGAGCAGTGTCTCTTCGATTTTTGAGAAAGTAATCATGTTGGGAGTCTGGCTCCCGAGATTCGGAGGGCGGTGCCTCTTCGATTTTGGAGCAAGCAATCTTGTTGGGAGTGTTTTCTCGAATGTGAGTAAAGGTTGGGCATGTTTGCTAGTCTACCTTGCCACGAAGCACAGAGGTTGACACACAGGGACTTTCCAATTATCCAGCAATGGTACTGTTCCTTTACCCTTTCTTCGATTTTTGAGAAAGTAGTCATGTTGGGAGTCTGGCTCTCGAGATTCGGAGGACGGTGCCTCTTCGATTTTGGAGCAAGCAATCTTATTGGGAGTGTTTTCTCGAATGTGAGTAAAGGTTGGGCATGTTTGCTAGTCTACCTTGCCACGAGGCACAGAGGTTGACACACAGGGACTTTCCAATTATCCAACAGTGGTACTGTTCCTTTACCCTTGTGGGTAATAATATATGGTAGCTAGACCTTCAAAATTTATGGGTCTAAACTTTGTTAGTGCTGTTTCTTTGCTATTCTTTTACCCTTATTGGTCAGAGCGATGTAGTGGGAGCTGCAAGCTTCACGTGCTCAACTTTGGCAGAGAACTTTGGCAAAGTTATCTGTGGTACCCATGAGCTATTGCTGCGTGTGGGAAGTGGGTGATTGGACAGTAAGATTCATGTGTTTTCTACTTCCCCAGAAGTCTTCGACAGAATACCCATAATTTCCGCAAAGCTGAGTGTGCGTGTGACAGGTGCTGACAAGGCTGGAAAAGTAGGTGCCTCTTCGATTTCTGAGATCGGCCCTCGTGGTCTCTGAGGAGCCCAGCTTTTGAGGAAGCGAGCGCCTCTTCGATTTCTGAGATCGGCTTTCGTGGTCTTTGAGCAGCCCAACTTTTGAGAAAGCAAACACCTCTTCGATTTATGAGATCAACCCTCGTGGTCTCTAAGCAGCCCAGCTTTTGAGAAAGCAAACGCCTCTTCGATGTCTGAAGCTCCGTCGAGTGCAGCTTTTTATAGGGGCTGGCATTAAGTTCCAAAGCACACTTGAATCTCCACCAGTAGAAGCTCCATTCTTGCACTTCTAAGATCTTGATTTGTCCGACCTCTTCTCTCTTCAATACCTTTGAAAATGTCTGGCCCCTCCGACCGTCGTTTTGACTTGAACCTTGTTGAAGAGGCAGCCCCGCCTTCTCCAGACAACATATGGCGCCCATCCTTCGTCTCCCCTACTGGTCCTCTTACCGTTGGGGATTCCGTGATGAAGAATGATATGACCGCTGCGGTGGTGGCCAGGAACCTTCTCACTCCCAAAGATAACAGACTACTTTCCAAACGGTCTGATGAGTTAGCTGTTAAGGATTCACTGGCTCTCAGTGTTCAGTGTGCAGGTTCTGTGTCTAATATGGCCCAACGCCTATTTGCTCGAACCCGCCAAGTTGAATCATTGGCGGCCGAAGTGATGAGTCTCAAACAGGAGATTAGAGGGCTCAAGCATGAGAATAAACAGTTGCACCGGCTCGCACATGACTATGCTACAAACATGAAGAGGAAGCTTGACCAGATGAAGGAAACTGATGGTCAGGTTTTACTTGATCATCAGAGATTTGTGGGTTTGTTCCAAAGGCATTTATTGCCTTCGTCTTCTGGGGCTGTACCGCGTAATGAAGCTCCAAATGATCAACCTCTGATGCCTCCTCCTTCTAGGGTTCTGTCCAGTACTGAGGCTCCGAATGATCCCCCTCCGATGCCTTCTCTTTCTGGGGCTCTACCGACTGCTGAGACTTCTCCTAAGCAACCTTTGTGAAGGCTCCATCTTGTTTGTTTATTTTGACTCATGTATATGTACATATTTGTAGCTTATCGGGGATATCAATAAATAAGTTTTCCTTCATTTCAACGTATTGTGTTAAATACACCAAAGCCTTCTTCGCTAAGTTCTTTGAATTTTCTTTTGTTGAAGCTTGTATGTTGAAGCTTTCTGAGTGGAGCATGTGGGTTGGGGTAGTGTTCCCTTAATTTTTCGAGTGAGGAAAACTTCTCGGTTGGAGACTTGGAAAATCCAAGTCACTGAGTGGGATCGGCTATATGAATCTTAGAACGCCATTGTGTTCGGTCCTGTGTCATGTCCTTCGTTAGATCCAAGTACTCTAAGTCTTTTCTTAGAGTCTCTTCCAAAGTTTTCCTAGGTCTTCCTCTACCCCTTCGGCCTTGAACCTCTGTCCCATAGTCGCATCTTCTAATCGGAGCGTCAGTAGGCCTTCTTTGCACATGTCCAAACCACCGTAACCGATTTTCTCTCATCTTTCCTTCAATTTCGGCTACTCCTACTTTACCCCGGATATCCTCATTCCTAATCTTATCCTTTCTCGTGTGCCCACACATCCAACGAAGCATCCTCATCTCCGCTACACCTACACATCCCCAAAACTCTTTGGAAGAGGAGAAACCTGAATAAAGGAGGCACATGCGGCCATGATCGTCAAGACTGGTGAGATAACACTCTATGGGGTTGTAAAAGGGATCCTTGAATATTTCCTGTAGTTGATCTAGATGCTTATCAGAATTGGTGAGCCCAAATGAGTCCAAGTTATAGGCAACAACTTCTGCTTCACCGAATAAGGGCATGGCAATTAGAAAGCCATTGTACTCTACAGAGCAAATAAGATAGGGAAACTTCAATGGGATGGCAGAGTCCCATTCTTCTATTTTTAATTCCGCAAATCCGAAAACAATTCTCCGATTCTTTCTTGCTTCCAGCACATGGAAAAGAAACTGAACACATTACTAGACTACAGCTAAACTAACGAATGTGATTCGCGTTGTTTTAGTCCACTACCTTATTAATCTTAAGAAGCATACTAAAATTTATACTGAATTTCAATCAAGAATAGTAAACAACAATTATCGAGCTTTTATCGCTCCAAACAGCTGAAGTCAATCCTAAATCCCACTCGAACATTTCTCCGATGCAATTAACATTATTCGGATAGCATCCCAAACTAGAGGTATAGAAAATTGAAAAAACTAAAATGTATTACTGTATGATAGACAGGCAAAACCTAATTGCCGACTTAACGACTAATAACTAGAATTAAGCACGGAAATGAAGCCGAACCTGATGAATATCACACTGTTCACAGTCAAAGCAAGTGCCATTACAATTGGATTATATCACTTACAGCATAATTCAGTTTTGCGAAACTAAAAAACAGCGGCCATAATTGCTGTAATTAGGGAAGGAATTATATTTAGGGATACTGTCATCAGTTCAATTAACTACAGAGTAAAATTTTTATATTTGTCTCTATGGTAGAATTGAGAAAGAATTAAAAAGCCTAAATTCCAATAAAAAAATGCAAACTTTGTAAGGAGTGCGACAGCGAGGTGTGCGACGGTGAGGCGCCGAATCGATTTTGTCGTTGAAGAGCTCTGGAGCAAAATCGGTTTGTCGTTGAAGAGTTCTCTGGAACAAAATCGGGTTTGTCGCTCAAGACCTCCCACTCCCACTCCCATTCACACTCCGTCCCTCTCTCGCTCTCTATGTCTCTCGGTGTCTCTCTCCCTCTCTCTATCTATCTCAGAGGCGGCATATAGCCTCCCATCCTCGAAACCCTCACCGAATGACAACAAACCTAAAGCCTCCCAATCCGTCCCAAACCTTACTGGACAAAATTACCCTTCTAAATTTCAAAACTACCCAATCAACCCAGACGGCTTTTTTGTAATTAAGCTGAAATTGAAGGGCGTTTAAGTTACTGTAGATTAGGGTTTTATAAAAGGAAAGACCCCTCCTCCTCCGTTTTTTTACTTCTACAGATCCCACCTCTCTCTCTCCTCCGGATCTCTCTCTTCCAGCTCTCTCAAGGCAAGGGCGAGATATCTTGTAAGTGTCTACATTTGCATTTTCATTACTGTTATTGTGTAAATTTACTAATTATTTTACTAACCGACACTTATATTTTTATTATTATTGTTATTGTGAATTTACTAATTATTTACTAACTAGCACTTACATTTTTATTATTAATATCACTGTTATTGTGTAAATTTACTAATTATCTACTAACTTTCAAATCAAAGCACAAGGGTGGGTGATTCAAGTTTGGGTTCTCTCCCGCAATTGAAACAAAAATAGAAAATATATATCAAGGCACGGTTCAGCCTTCAAGGAAGGCAACCTATCACCTAATGACTAAGGCGGAAGCACTTAACTAGTATTCTGCCACCCAATTCCCGATTAATCAAAAGTCAATATACCTGCTATAGGCTGACTTTATTTGCGAACTCGAATATGATATGTATATAGTCTTCACTGACCCAGTAGAACACACTTTACACACATATGTTGCAAAAAATAAGGGGAATCTTATAGATCGTGACACTGAAGAGGCCACTAAGGAGATAAATAAGATTTAGTGGTAATTTAATAAAAATAATATAATTGTTAGTATATAACAAGTATTGTGTATACGTATGTGTTATTTTTTGTTAATTTAATAATTTTGTAAGGATGCTGTGAAATGGCTCAAGTACCTCCAAAAAGAGCACAATCGAGAGCATGAGAATTTGAGTGAGCACTAGATATTTGTGGTGAATGGAAGAGGCCGTCTTGGCCGATTATACATGGACCCACTCCCGGCAGATCTCAAAACCAACCTCTTTCCACCCCAGATATTGATGTCTTCGTCAAAATTTTACTTTTCATATATCCTAATGGCGTAAATGCGTACAACACTAATCTGAGATATTTATATGACCGCTTGAATCTTTGGCCAAAAGATTAATGTGAGACATTTATATGATCGCTTGAATCTTTGGCAGAAGATTTGCATAATGTCTCATTTTAGTGTTGTATGCATTTATATGAAAAGTAAAATTTTGACGAATGCATCAATATCTGAGGTGGAAAGAGGTTGGCTTTGAGATCTGTTAGGGGCGGGTCCATGTAGAACCGGCCAAGACGACCTTTTCCATTCACTACAAATATCGAGTGCTCACTCAAATTCCCATGCTCCCAATTGTGCTCATTTTTGAGGTATTTGAGCACTTTCACAGCATCTCTACAAAATTGTTAAATTAACAAAAATAACACATACGTATAAACAATACTGGTTATATACTTACAATTATAATATTTTTATTAAATTACCACAAAATCTTCTTTATCTCCTTAGTGGCCTCTCTAGTGTCACGATCTACAAAATTCTCCTTATTCTTCTCAACATATGTGTGTAAGTGTCTTCTACTGGGTCGGTGAAGACCATATACATGTCATTTTTCGAGTTCGTAAACAAAGTCAGCCTTTAGCAGGTATATTGACTTTTGATCAATCGGGAATTGGGTGGCAGAATACTAGTTAAGTGCTTCCGCCTTAGGCATCAGGTGACAGGTTGCCTTCCTTGAAGGCTAAACCGTGCCTTGATATACATTTTCAATTTTTGTTTCAGTTGTGGGAGAGAACCCAAACTTGAATGACATATCCTTGTGCTTGATTTGAAAGTTAGTAAATTTACACAATAATAGTAATAATAAAAATGTAAGTGCTAGTTAATAATTTTACACAATAACAGTAATAATAAAAATGTAAGTGCCAGTAAAATAATTAGTAAATTTACACTAATAAAAATGTAAGTGCTAGTTAGTAAATTCACACCATAGCAGTAATAATAAAAATGTCTATATGTCCACCTGGTCATTTACCAAAGTGGGAGAGTAGATCCTTTAAAAAATTTTGACTCGTTGGCTTGTTTGAATCTTAAGATCGCATTGACGTATTTCTGTAGATTGTAAAAATACTCATCAAGAAAATCTTTGTGATATTAGATTATAATTTATGTTATCTTTTGGATGGCACAGTTGATCTTTTTCTTTTATCTAACTCTTTGGAAGCGGTCTTATTATTTATTAACATAAGTATTTGTTTAAATTTTTATGCTTAAAAATAGAAGAATCAGTTACAAATAGGCCTGGGCAAAAAATACCGAGAACCGAACCCGGTCGGTTCGGTTTTTTTTTCGGTTCATTTTGGTATGAGTACAAAATCGGTTCGGTTTGGTGCTTAGTCGGTTCGGTTTCGGTTCTACGTTCAATACCGAACCGTACCGAATCACTTTTTTTAATAGAAATTATTGTTAAGTGGACCACTCCTCCACGTTTTTGCACTCTTGGACTCTCACGTTTCTGAGACTCTCAGACTCTCACTTTTCTCACTCCGAAGTCACTCGGTCTCTCTCAATCGCCGGCTCCACCACTCCTCCTCCTCTCCAATCTCTCACGATTTCACGGTCTCACCTCCACCACAACCATCTTGACATCGTCTTCTCTCATGGTAAGTCAATCTCTTGAATTTGTTTGCATTTTATAAAATTAGGGTTCTAATTTTTAGATTCAAATTGGGATTGGAATTGGGGTTTCTCTGAAATTCAAATCTCTTTGGGTATAATTTTTTTTCTATCTGGGATAACTTGTAGTTCCTATCTGGGTTTCTCTGAAATCCACAATTAGTTAGTTAATTAATCGATTTCACATGGCTGATGGCTGTTTGGTTGGTTGACGATGTTAATGAAAGCAATGTCTCGTAATTTCTGGTCAATTTTGTATCCTTCTGACTCCAATCACTCCATCCAATTTTTTTTTTTTGCCAAAATCACTCCACCCTCTCCGGGTATTAGGAGAAAGTCATAACTGTGTTGATCAGGCATATTCAGTTGTGGGTATGCCCCTTTGTCTCCGGGTAAAACACCAGAACAATTCATTTCTTCTTTTAAAACCAAATTAATCAGGCATATTCAAATTTGAAGTGGGTATGCCCCTTTGTCTATTCAGTTGTGACTTACATATTTTAATCTCACGATATCATAATAAAAACCACTCTTTTTCTTAATTCTCATGATTATATCTACAAAAATTACTAAAAACAACTTATAACATTAATTTTCTAGAGCACCGATACATGTAAATATAGACATTGTCAACAAAGATTAAAAGCTGAGGCTTGCTCGATTGTCATTTACTGTTTAGTTTTCTAAATCAATCCCATCATTTGTAATGTAAATATTGGTGGGGTTCCCATTATTTGGGAAAATGGGTTTTGTATCCAAGCTCAGAAAATGGGTTTTGCCTTTTGAAAATGTTTATGTGAGTGGGTTAATTATGTGTCATTTTATTGGCTAGAGCTAGCTACAAATAACTATTTTGTTCCCTTGGATTGTGGATAAACAAAGAGGAGGGTCATAATGATTCACAAATTGTGATGGGATTTGATTCTTTTTTGGACATAATGATTCACAAATTGATATTTTTGTATTGATTGGATGCAGGCTTCGTACCGTGTAGATTCTATAGATGATGCAATTGATTTGGAATATGAATCGGGGGGAAGTAAATGTGAGGCCGAAAGTGAAGGAGATCAAGAGGAGGTAAGTGTCTCCCAACTCCTACAAGGTAAACGTAGTAAGGTTTGGGAGCATTTTAGGCCTTATCAAGTTAAGACCCTAATAAGCCTCAAGGATCGAGAAGGGAATGTTGTAAAAGATGAAAATGATGAACTGGTAATGGTTCCACATGTAAGACTTAGGGCTAAATGTGTCTATTGCCCGGAACATACAAATGATGGTGACTATGCGGCTGATTCAAGCACTAATGGTATCTCCGGAATGAGAAAACATCTTAATCGACAATGTAAATATTATCATGCCAACTTAAGGAAAAATCAAAAACTTCTTTATGAGGAGAAGAGAGGGGGTAAAACTTTGGTCAATAGGGAGTTTAACCAATCCGATTGTTTGGAAGCATGTGTAGAGATGATTGTTCTTGATGAGGTACCCTTTAGTACCGTAGAAAAAATAGGGTTCAATAGATTTTGTAGTGTTGCATGTCCATTGTTTCGTGTGCCTTCTAGGAGGACTCTTGTTAGAACTTTCCTTAAAATGTATGCCCAATCTAAGGATAGTTTGAAAAAGGAATTGTATGCGCACCGAATTTCTCTTACCACCGACACTTGGACAAGCACTCAAAACATCAATTATATGGTCCTCACCGCACACTTTATTGGGAAATGTGATCATATTATGAGTTACTGGATTGATATGGAAGCAGAAAACAATTAGTTTGTCACGACTGTTTTGTTAAGATGTTTATGTGATCAATTAGAATTTAACTAAGAAGCAGCTTCAATTGCAGATTACTTATTTCGTTTGACATTGAATATAATTTGGATCCAACTTATCGATTTTACGTTAATTGCTATGTCCTTGCTGTATTTGTGCAAAATAGCAATTGTGTAGCTTCTAGGACTGCAGGTTACGTAGCAATTGTGTAGCAATTTTGTAAAGTTCGGTTTGATTTGGCATGCTTTGGAAAAGTTGATGAGAAGGTGATATCAGTGCATTAAAGTTCCATTGAATAGCTTCTAGGACTGCAGGTTATGTCTTTTTATGGAGGGGTATATGTCAAATTTTTAAGGTAATTTCAAGCATTTTTTTTGGGGCCAAAAATTGATTTGGGCCAAAATCTGTTTGTGAATCTAGGCCTAAAATTTATTTGTGTGAACTTTGTTAATTTTGGGCCAAAAGTTGATTTGGGCATTTTTGTTTACTTAAATTGAAAAATAGGCCTTGTTCCTCATAGCCCAGAACCGAACCGAACCTATACTTATACCAAACCGAACCGAACCTATTAGGTTCGGTACTACATCGGTACAACCAGTCATACCGTACCAAACCGTACCGAAAGTTTGTTATAGGTTCGGTTTCGGTACTACCTCGGTACCGAACCGTGCCCAGGCCTAGTTACAAATATTGAACTGACCTAAAACGTAGCCAGAATTGAGTTTGCATGAAAATTTTACCAAAAAGAGGTTTTAACTTTATGATGAATTTTGTAGAACTGGGCAAAACTGATTTTACAAATCCGGAGTTAATAGCAAACTGTTTTTATGAAACATGAAAATTGTTGAGATTTCACAAGACATTTTGAGAGTTACTAGCTCCTTTTTGTTGTAGATTGCTCTATGTAGATATAAATTAGTGTTTTTTTGGCCTCGTGATAATCATATGCAATATTCTTTTTCTTTCGGGATTTATGCCCCTTTGTCAAGCAAAAAAGATTAAAAAAAAAATCCTATTAAGTCATGTGGAACTGGTCTTCCGATAATCGCGCAAACCCTTTCACAAATAATTTTTTTTTATATATTATATATAAGATATAAAATTACCAAAGTTTTGTTTGGTGCATTGAGGTAGGTATCGAAGAGATCCACCCTATCCAAAAACCAGAGACAGCGAGAGAGAGTGGCATTGAATTGCACCACTATTTCGCCTCTCCGTCCTCCCTCTCTGTGTCCGTCATGTCGTCGACCAGTGCTTTAAGCTCCCGGCTTTCCAACTTCCACCGCCTCACCGACTCCCAGGATCACCTCTCTTTCCGTAAGCTCTCTCGAAACGTATTGACCAGTAGTATTTCGCACAATTTTGTATGCAAACATTTCTCGAATTGCATAGAAATTATGGGTTTTTCGAAACAAGATGGGAAATTGGGTTTCTTTTTGTACCAAATTTAACCCCTTTTATCATACACTTGAGGAAAAAGCATGGCTTTGGCTTTGGCTTTGGCAGTGTAAGAAATTACTGTTGGAAATGTTGGACCATTGTATTTGAATTCTAAGCATTGAAATTCGATGCCACTTTGCTGAGCGAGATTGTTTAGGATGTCAAACTAAATTGTGGGCATTGAAAATTTGTGAGCGTAAATGTTTGCGCTTTTTAGAAATTTATGCTCAAATCTGTTAATCATTGTTCTGTTATGCAAAAATGTTTTGCCTATTCCGCTGTGAGACGGGGTTATCGCATAATTTCTGATGACAAATCAAACTTACTGCTTTATTCTGATTATAGGTGAAGGAGTAAACTCACGTCCAGCCTGTCCTTCAATTGTTTCTTGGCCTGGTATTAAGACTGGGAGGACACCCCGTTCGTCCCGTGTGTATGGCTTATTTGGAGGAGGGAAAAAGGGTAACAATGAAAGGGGTGATGATGCAGCTTCAAAGGTTTAGCATTTTCCCTCTTGTAGTTTGTTTTCCCATTTTTCTGGAACTTGTCTTGGGTGGACCAACTTTGTATTGACCATTGGAATTGCCATCTGCTGCATTGCTGTACCCGTTAATCCTTCTCAGAAATTTATTTCTTGCCCCTTGTATTCCTCTGTTGAGTGTGTCAAGTCAATACAAACTCTATTAAAATGAAAGGGGATGGTTGATTTTAACTTTTATATGCTTCATGTGGGGACACCTGATCAAATTTATATGATTGATGCAGTATTAGGTTGCAGGGTTTCGTAGCCCTTCCAATTGTAAGCTAAGTAGCTTTATGCAGCCCGAGCCCCACAGATTTTGACATTAGGCTGTCAACTGTACTTTGGTCGAACATGGTCCAGCTATGTTTTATTATGGATCACTATATCTTGCATCACGCAATTGGTAGCAGGATTCGTTCAGGATAAAGGGCAGTGGTATGGACGTTAAATGGGGTTGCCTAGCTATAATTATAGTCGAACTATAAGGTTGCTATAGTGATAGTGTTATCATCGTTTATTTGTCTTGTGTAATGGCGACATTGCAAGCTTGAGGTCGATCATAACTGGCCACTTTTGGTTTACTAGATCATAACTGGCCACTTTTGGTTTACTAGAACATATGCTGATAATGACTTTATGTTGTTTCTAGCATAATTGTGACTATGATCCTATGTTGTTTTCTGTTACAGTATCCCGAGTCTGTCTTAGTCCACGTGGAGCTAGTCCAGCAGTCCTAAGAATAGAAACCTTGATTTAAGTATCAAGTTGATGTACTGTTATGTCTGCACTTTTGATGCAGGCAGGAGTTTTCAGTATGCAAAACCTAAACCCTCACCGAATGACAACAAACCTAAACCCTTCCATTCCGTCCCAAACCCTACGGACAAAATTACCCTTCTAAATTTTAAAAATTACCCAACCAACCCAGACGGCTTTTTTGTAATTAAGCTGAAAATCGAAGGACGTTTAAGTTACTGTAGCTTATGTTTTTAGAACAGATACTGTCGCGACCCCTCCTCCTCCTGTTTTTCACTTCTACGGCATCCTTTTTTACTTCTACTTCATCCTTTTTTACTTCTACATCACAGCTCTCTCTTCCAGCGCTCTTTTTCTCAATGGCGAGGGCGATTGAACTCGTAAGTCTCTACATTTACATTATTATTACTGTGTAAATTTACTAATTATTTTGCTAATTGGCATTTAAATTTTTATTATTACTATTATGGTGTGAATTTACTAATTATTTACTAACTAGCACTTATATTTTTATTACTATTGTTATGGTGTAAATTTGCTAAGTATTTTACTAACTAACACCTACATTTTTATTATTATTGTTATTGTGTGAATTTGGTGTAAATTTGCTAAGTATTTTAATAACTGACACCTATATTTTTATTATTATTGTTATTGTGTGAATTTACTAATTATTTACTAACTAGCACTTACATTTTTATTGTTATTGTGTAAATTTACTAATTATTTACTAACTAACTTTCACATCAAGCGCAACGGTGGGTCATTCAACTTTGTGTTCTCTCCCGCAACCGAAACGAAAATGAAAAATATCTATCAAGGCATGATTCAGGGTTCAAGGAAGGCAACGTATCACCTGATGACTGAGGTGGAAGCACTCAATTGGTCTTGTGCCATCCGATTCCCGATTGATCACAGGTCAATCTATCTGCTGAAGGCTGACTGTGTTTACAAACTCGAAAATGACCAGTATATAGTCTTCACGGACCCAGTAGAAGACACTCTACACTCATATGTGAAGAAGAATGAGAAGAATCTTTTAGATCCTAACACTGGGGAGGCCACTTAGGAGTTAAAGATGATTTTGAGGTAATTTAAAAAAATATTATAATTGTTAGTATATTGTTTATACGTATGTGTTATTTTTTTTTATTAATTAAATTTTTTTGTAGGGATGTTGTGAAAGAGCTCACGTTCCTCAGAAAAGAGCACAATCGCGAGCATGGGAATTTGAGTGAGCACTCAATATATGTGGTGAATGGAAGAGGCCGTCTTGGCCGGTTCTACATGGACCCGCCCCCGGCGCATCTCAAAGCCAAAGCCAACTTGTTCCTACCCGAGATGTTGATGCATTCGACTTGTTACCACAAAATCATCTTTAACTTCTGAGTGTCCTCTCCAGTGTTAGGATCTAAAAGATTATTCTCATTTTTCTTCACATATGAGTGTAGAGTGTCTTCTACTGGATCCGTGAAGACCATATACAGATCATTTTCGAGTTTGTAAACCCAGTCAGCCTTCAGCAGATATATTGAGTTTTGATCAATTGGGAATTGGATAGCAGAAGACCTGTTGAGTGCTTCCACCTCAGTCATCAGGTGATACGTTGCCTTCCTTGAACCCTGAATCATGCCTTGATAGATATTTTTCATTTTTGTTTCGGTTGCGGGAGAGAACACAAAGTTGAATGACCCACCGTTGCGCTTGATGTGAAAGTTAGTAAATAATTAGTAAATTTACACTAACAATAAAAATGTAAGTGCTAGTTAGTAAATAATTAGTAAATTCACACAATAACAATATTAATAAAAATGTAGGTGTCAGTTAGTAAAATACTTAGCAAATTCACACAATAACAATAATAATAAAAATGTAGGTGTCAGTTAGTAAAATACTTAGCAAATTTACACCATAACAATAGTAATAAAAATATAAGTGCTAGTTAGTAAATAATTAGTAAATTCACACCATAATAGTAATAATAAAAATTTAAATGCCAATTAGTAAAATAATTAGTAAATTTACACAGTAATAATAATGTAAATGTAGAGACTTACGAGTTCAATCGCCCTCGCCATTGAGAAAAAGAGCGCTGGAAGAGAGAGCTGTGATGTAGAAGTAAAAAAGGATGAAGTAGAAGTAAAAAGGATGCCGTAGAAGTGAAAAACAGGAGGAGGAGGAGGGGTCGCGACAGTATCTGTTCTAAAAACCTAAGCTACAGTAACTTAAACGTCCTTCGATTTTCAGCTTAATTACAAAAAAGCCGTCTGGGTTGGTTGGGTAATTTTTAAAATTTAGAAGGGTAATTTTGTCCGTAGGGTTTGGGACGGAATGGAAGGGTTTAGGTTTGTTGTCATTCGGTGAGGGTTTAGGTTTGCTCCAGTTCCTCTCTCTCGCCGAATTTATGCCGCTCGAGCGCGCCCAGTCACTGCTTATGCTCTTCAAGGCCACCACCCTCCTCTTCGCTTTTGTTTGCTCAATTTTCAGTTAATTCGGATTTGATTGCGGTTTTTGGGTCGTTGTGTGAGTTAACCCAGTTTGAATGTTAGTTGAATATTGGTTCCTTTTGGTTTTATAGTGAGGCTGAGGTGCACCGGAGTAAACCCATTTAACCATTAGTGATGCTCGTATTTTTGGAAGTTCCATTATTGATGGATCGATTTTTAAATTGTTGTATTGAGATATGCAAAGCGCAGTCGCCCACACCACATGAGTTACCGTTAGTTATTGATTTGGAGTACTGTCATTCACACCCGTGTCGTGTGGGCAACTGCGATTAACATTTTCCTTCTTGTCCGTCTGTGACTGCGAGCAATTGATTGAGGTGCTGTCCCATGAGCGAACGTGCGCATTGTTTATATTCTTATTGACAGTTTATATTTTGTTCAAGCACCATTGCCACCATCTACTACTTTAAATTATCAGGCAGAGCCTTCTTTGCCAGACCTCACCCCTGGTAAGTTGGTCATATCCCTTTTATGTCGGTATCGTCACTTTTTCAACACCTTGATATCACTCCACTCAATAATTGTTCATTTCTTCAGGTCTAAGGCAAAGTATGAGAGCCATTAGCAAAGAAAAGGAAATATCAATCCCCTAATGAACAAGCAGTTTAATCTTCTGCCAAGGAATTCCTTGAGAAAGCAGCTCGAGAGATTCTTGGTGATAACCAAGGTGGTCTGAAGATGACGTACCTATGATCTGATTCCTGTTTTTCCCGGTAGAGCTCTTTTTCTTCTTATCTTATCCACGTTGTGATTTTATTTCCTCAATTATTTCTGTTGGTTCAAGTTCATTATGGTCGTATAGCTTTCAATATTTCCAGAGTCATGTGCCCGCGCCAGTGTTATTGTACATTGGCATAGCAATACTTGTTATGCTGCTTGTGTAAAATTTGTAGAGCGTTGCTCGGTCAAAATAGGGAAGAACAAGTATTTGATTTATCCATAGATTGTTACGTATAACTGAAGGTTCTGGTATGATGATTGAGTTGCTAATAATTGTAGTCATCATATTTGGAATAACTATATATTACAACAATGCAAGTCATTTTGCGTTGTTAGCCACTTAAATAGTACTGCTACCCTTCAATACCGAAACTTCTGATTCCGATGATCGGTGCAATTCAGGAGGATTGCATATCACTATTTATCACCAATGGGAGTTTAATAATTCAAACCTGATCTGAAAATACATGGTGCTATATTTCTGTTGTCTCTGATTGCTCTTTCTTTGGCCCGTGCGAAAACAACATGGTTTTGGATGTGGATTCCACCCCCAGCACCCTTCCTGCAACAACCCTTACCTAATGGTAATTCCCCTTCATAGTTTTCTTAACTAGGGTTCCTGTTTTGTTGTTTGTGTTCTTAACTAGGGTTCCTGTTTTGTTGTTTGTGTTGGGACTTGCAAGTGAACTTGTGCCCATAGGTAAGTTCAGGGACTTGATGCAGCACAGGAAAGACCTGCAGCACTCTTTTTCCCCTTAAATACTAAATTCTGACGTTTTCTCCCTATTGTTTCAGGGCTTGCCAAGATGGACTGTCCTGATATAGCACCTCTTTGAATATTTCAATTTTTGTTGTAATGGTTCCGAAGTCAGATGGAGAAGCTCTCAAGAAATCTGTTGAAGATGGGAAGAAAGGTCAAGTTCTGATATTTACTGTTTCGCCAAATTCTTTACTTACTTCCTTTAGTGTGGTTAGGAGTAATAAATATAACGTAATAGAAGATGGCATACTGATGTGGGACAGTTTGGGAGGTCTGATTTAGGGCTTTTATAAGGGGCATTTCATAGAAAAAGGGCTTGAATTATTTGAAGTTTCAGGGGGGAGAACAGATGATAGCTTTTTCAGGCGTCGGTTGAATTAGGGTTTTCCAGGTTGGACATATAGGTTCTCTATGATATATATATAGATTAAGAGTTTGCTTTCCATCTTTGTTTGCATCCATATGTTAGCTAATGTGCTTGCACTTTTCAATTCTAAAGTTTGTTCGATGTGAGATATATATGGATAATTCTTGTAACTTACTGCAGTGGAGCTTCTATTATATTCTCCCAAGCATCGAGTGCTGGACTAGTCTGTTTTCTTCCTGTGGCTGATGGCTGTTGGAATTGCTTCATCTCGGTCAAAGATTACTGCTCCTGAGAAGTCTGATGAGAAGTATAATGAACTAGCGTAAAAGGTTTTTACATGCAAGCCTCATTTCACAGTTTTCACTGCCCGACTTCTTTGTTCCCTAAATGCTTTTCTCGTATACATGTCGATTTTAATTCACTTGAACTTTTTGTTTTACATGAAATATTGTGTGGTTATCAGGGATGGATGTATCATTATGAATGGAAATGTCGGTGGATATTTTGATATCGGTAACTGTCATCTCAATGGAGAATGATTGATTTAACTTTCACTGAAGTTTCATTCAAAACTTTCATCTTTCAAAGGAAATGTACATCGATCAACCTGTTGACAGTCACTGATGTGACATAGAAACCGAAACATCCTCCAAAAATTTTAGTAGAGATATTTCCATCACAACCCAGAGAGTTTCTTCTCGCAGACCCGAAAAAGAACAGATAGATATCCATCTGTATACACACAAAAAGACCATCTCTCCCCATAATTGCCTTTATTATTTATTTGTTTTTATTTATTTATTATTATTGGTTATTATTCCTCCCCCTCCTCCTCTGTCTCTCTCTCTCTCCTCTGTCTATCTGGAATCGAAAACCTTATCTCCTTTTTTGATTTGGGTTTTCGTTTCCTTTGCTTAATCTCTAAGGTTTTATCTATGGAGATTGATTTATAGTTTTTTCACTAAAAAATCGTATTTTCTATTTCCTGTTTGGATGTGGATTTATAGTTTTTCACTATTTAAGGGTCAAAGATTCGGGCTTTGAGCAGGAGATGAAAAGGGTTCAACTGGGTTTTGAATTTGATCGCTTTTCTCTGTTGAATTTTGTTAATTTTTTGTGATTAATTCGGGATTTTGAAGAGGAAGATGAAAAGGGCTGCTGGCAATTCCAAGCAGTCTCAGCCTGCTAATGAGGAAACTAGGATGAAGTTCAGGCATGAAAGTCTTCTGCAAGATTACCTCGAACGACAAAAGGTTTGGTTTTTTGTTCGACTTTTGTTTTGGTCTTGTCTTTCTTATTGAACTTCTCTGTCTAGTTCTTCTTCTTCTTTTTTTTGTTTTTGTCTTGTCGAAATTTTGTTTAGTTATCATGTTTGTTTGATATTCTAGTTAGTTTGTTGTGATTGAGAAGAAGAATGAGAATAATTCTGAATCGACAGAATGAAGTACCAACTCCAATGTTAGAGTGACAGTTTTCTGACAAGACGATGTATAATTTAAATTCTAAACTACTCTAGCTTACGGGGACAGAAATTCGAACTTTAGTACTGGAGTCGGGCACACTGCCCTGCCTACTGACCTAACCCACGTATGCTAGACTAACAGTTGTTATAGGAAAACTTCAATTTTCTAGGATCTTAAATCTCCAATGAATTCAAAATCAAGTACTTGGCTTTTATAAAGGGACAGATGATAGCTTTTTCAGGCGTCGGTTGAATTAGGGTTTTCCAGGTTGGACATATAGGTTCTCTATGATATATATATATGGATTAAGAGTTTGCTTTCCATCTTTGTTTGCATCCATATGTTAGCTAATGTGCTTGCACTTTTCAATTCTAAAGTTTGTTCGATGTGATAATATATATGGATAATTCTTGTAACTTACTGCAGTGGAGCTTCTATTATATTCTCCCAAGCATCGAGTGCTGGACTAGTCTGTTTTCTTCCTGTGGCTGATGGCTGTTGGAATTGCTTCATCTCGGTCAAAGATTACTGCTCCTGAGAAGTCTGATGAGAAGTATAATGAACTAGCGTAAAAGGTTTTTACATGCAAGCCTCATTTCACAGTTTTCACTGCCTGACTTCTTTGTTCCCTAAATGCTTTTCTCGTATACATGTCGATTTTAATTCACTTGAACTTTTTGTTTTTCATGAAATATTGTGTGGTTATCAGGGATGGATGTATCATTATGAATGGAAATGTCGGTGGATATTTTGGTATCGGTAACTGTCATCTCAACGGAGAATGATTGATTTAACTTTCACTGAAGTTTCATTCAAAACTTTCATCTTTCAAAGGAAATATACATCGATCAACCTGTTGACAGTCACTGATTGGACATAGAAACCGAAACATCCTCCAAAAATTTGAGTAGAGATATTTCCATCAAGGATGATATTTTCTTCTTGGCCGTCCTGTTACTGCATAATGTGTTGTAATTTTGGGAAATAGTATTTATATCTTCTTTGATTGGATAGGAATCTAATGCTGGAACAGCCAAAGATGATTCTGAGGACGAAGTCATGAATCTTAGTGTGGCGAGTGATGTGTGTTTCATCATAACAGCATTCACTTTTCTGTTGCTACCATATTTCGTTATGTCGACTTGGTTTATCTGGGTGCTGATCATACTTTTCTGCATTGGCGGTATTGAGGTACAGTGATTAATTCTATTATTTATTAATTTTGCTTGCAAAGCAAACAAAGTTTGCTATAAACAGAGTCCATGGCATTTTCATACCTCTATGGGAATTAAACTAAATAGAACTGTGCATTACAATCTATAGAATGCCGAATAATGCATTTGTTTTGATAACTTTTTGGATAAGAAACAACTTTCATTAATAAAAATTAATTTGTACAAAATAAAGGACAAGATGTCTACTATCTAAAATCCTGCTAACAACGGTAAAACAGGAAAATCAGAAGCATACCACACCACTAAAATTAAGAAAGCTTATGAATGTCCTTTTTGTAAGAAAGTCATGGACATCCTTCCTACACCTACCTCATAATGTATTTCAATGATTGGAACCATCTATATCTTAGATCCTCATTTCAAGGGTCATCCCCGTAGAAAATCATCCAAATCCTAAAGTGTTTGAAGGAGAGTCTAAAAACTGAATGGTTTCCATCATTGAATCACATTCCTGGAAATAGGATGTCCATAACTTTCTTAAATGTTGAATTGTTCTGTCAAATTTGTTTGATCTGCTACTTTCCTGTACTATTTGTTAGGAAGCTTGCCAAAGTTAGTGTCCTATTTTGTTTAGGATTGTATTAAGGAATCTTCTGTCAGTTGACATATGTCATGCTAGCTGATGTATCTTTTGTTTTCAGGAAATGCATAATTGTGTTCTGAGCGTGATTTTGAGGTACATTTGATAATTTTTTTTCCTGTTTCTACTGAACCTATCACCCATGCTCCTTAATGTCTTTTACTGGTTGAATATAAAATGAGAAGTGGTGGATGGAAGACAATAACTTTGCCTCTTCTGGATGAGGTTTCTATTCTCTCGCTTGTTGTATAAGCTTTTTGTGTGGCATTTGCAATTTTCTGGGTTGTTACCCGGCAGGCGTCATATTCATGGATAGGCCAAGATGTTCTTGTATGTTTCATGTTTTGATATGTGTGCTAGGCCGAGTGTATTATGCATTCAGCGAATTTATGCAGTTACAGAAATTGTTTTTTTTTTTTTTTGTCCCTTTCAAATCCTGGACACTTGGTAATGGAGAGTGATTGGATGCGTCCAGACTACTGGGGTCAGTCTTCTATTGTAACATCTCAAAATATTTCTAATGGTCATACCTGAAAGAAAGCTTTTACTTACCAGTTAAGCTCTTGATTGCACTTCATGCATGCTAAGTATTGCAATTTTGGAACAAATCTATTTCTTGCTTCTATGTTTTGTCAAGGTAGTCACCCAAAGATCTTCTATCAACCTAAGTTGAAAGGTTTAAGGGTTCCCTATGGACTGCTGAAATATTGCAAAGAAACCTAAAAATTTACAACGTTATGCCATATCGTTATGCATTATTGTACCATGTTTAATCCTTGGGGTTTTTCGCTACATGATTCTCATGGTTGTCTATATGGTCTGTTGAAGATGGTTGTACATCCGTCATTTTATCCATGTCAGCTAGTTAAAATATATTTTGTTGACAGCGTAACTGGTTGATGATAACGGTCTTGCAAATTACTCGATTGCCTAATATAATGGTATCAGTTCTTTTATCATTTAATTAATGTATGAAGTTTTTGTCTCATAATTCTAACATGTCTCAGGTTACCACGGAACTACTTTGTCTACGCCATCTTTTGGGTATTCCTGTCACCCTAAATATTCAAAGATAGAGTCAAGGTTGCGGTACGTTCTTATCTCAGCTTCTTTTTCTTATTTTTCTTGGTTTATTAGATACCTTGTATCATTAAGTGCATAGATTTTCGACTGAAATGCATCGGTTGGAGTATTGGGGTGTGTATTGCATGTGTTTATTTGCTGAAGGCTCACTGTTGTTCAAAATGATTCTACATATGTTGTTGATGGACATCTTGTCCCTTCTATTTGTAACTCATCTTTTTTCTTGTTCAATGAATTGTTTCTGTTTCTGATATTTTAAGAGAAGTAAGAAACAATACCATTCTGATGTATTCATCTCAGAAAGTCTTTTTGTTTTTTTTGTTTTTTTTGAGAAGAATCTCAGAAAGTCTTTATGAGAAGAGAGTGTTCGAGCAAGTATGCTTATACGAGTATACTCCTCTATGTTGATTTTGAGTAGTGTCCAATCATATGCAAATACATATATCGCTAATTCATGTTCATTTATTTCTTTCCTTTACACACGAAACCTACATCGACTGTATTAATAAAACCTGGGCTGGAGCATTGATAGCTAAAAGATAAAGACTGGGATTCAAGCCATTAGTCATACTTTTGCACTCTTGCAACCCACCTTGACATCACGATTTGTCAAAAATATGATGTGTAATTTACTAATTTGTGGATGAATTGGTAATAGAAACAAATAAATATACCTACGTGTCGAGTTTTGACATCCAATTTATATTTTTATTATAAACTTATAATAATAAATTTACTGTAGTGATCATACTAATGTTGTAATGCATAATAACAACAGTAAATTTAAAATGTTAGCAGGATCCTAGGTGGTGGTCCAGTGTTAAGGTGTAAAGATTTTTAGTTGTATGACTGCAGATTGACTGTGTCTATCTGTCCACCTGGTAAATAGCCTGGTCATTTACCAAAGTGGGAGAGTAGATCCTTTCAAAAATTTTGACTCGTTGGCTTGTTTGAATCTTAAGATTGCGAAGAGTGTTTTACATAAATAGAGGGCATATGTTCATTGACGTATTTCTGTAGATTGTAAAAATACTCAACAAGAAAATTTTTGTGATATTAGATTATAATTCATGTTTTCTTTTGGATGGCACAGTTTTTTTTTTTCTTTTAAGGAACTCCTTTTATATTCTGGTTCAGTTTTACTAATGTGTCAATGAGTTCACCAACAAAAGTATGCAACCATAAATGTACCTAACATCTTTGGCTCATGTCCCATGATCCCCTTTCCGAGTAAATCTTGTGTGTGCATGTATAAAGGTTGCGTATTCACATGAAATGTTACAATTTGCTTTTGCTTATAGGTTGCTAAAGGTGATAGTAGCGGTGAAGCCTTAACAATGCTCCTGAGAATCCCTCGCTTTTTTAACCCCTGTGGTGGTGGGAATATGATTGGCTTCGGGGACGTTCTGTTTCCTGGTTTGCTTATTGTGTTTACTTACAGGTACTGATTTCTTTCAGTTAATTTCTCTTTTTTTTTTTAATAGGAAATCAAAACCATTTACTTGATTTGCTTCAGTTAACACCATTTTTGAAAGAGAGAGTACCTTTCCTTTGTGGATTAAGTTCTTGAGCTAGTTGATTAATTGAAAAGAAGTCCTTAGTTAAATGTGATTATGTCCGGATTAAATGAGGTTTAACATACGTTCCAGATCCCCATACCACCGCAAACGGTTATTACACTCGGAAGTGCACCAATTTTCGTGCATTTGCATTTTTAGAAGGCAATCGTTGATATCTATCAAAGAATACAAAAATCGTGTACGAAATAAAGTGGGGGATAGATGTATTATGTGAAAATGTCAATTATGTTGCATCATGGTAATGTACATGTCGTAGGAGTTGGGATATACACGTTATCATGATGGTGAACAATTGGATTATGAATGGGAAATAAGCTCCAACTTTGATTTCTTTGTATCTGTATCAGCACTGTCTTGCTACCTTGTCAATGAAAGGAAAGTTTAACTCCTTTCACATATCTATTTCTTGTTATCAAGTCCTATAATTTATCCATTAATCAGTTTGATGCCGATTTTCCAAAATGATGATATTTGCTAAAGTTAACTGAATTTTCTTGGTAGATTAGCTACCTCAGATTGGGATACTTGTTTCCTTAGTCGTCTATGATATTGATAATGAAGTCCAGAAGAGACATTATATGCAACACTTTGGCTGATTTTAGTTAATCATCCACAGTAACACACTCACGCTTACTTGTTCATGACTTGTGACTTGGAAGTTAATCATCCACAGCCCAACACAGACCAATGAAATGATCACCAAACCTCGCAATCTCGCATCCCCACCGTCATTCGTCGGGTGCAATGCCCAACACTAACAACCGGACATTCCGGAGGCCGGACGTACTTTATAGGACCCATCTCAAAAGATAGGAGTGATAAGTAATGACAGGATGAGAACGCTTCTTCGGACAGTTCGCCATGCCTTTTATTGATCCACAGAGATCACCATTTCCGAGGAAAGAGTGTCTGGTCAGTGAAGCAAAGTCGCTATTGTTCAATACATTCCCAGACAAGTTGTTAATGGTGGGATTATGGTGCACTCATCCGAACAACAAGGAAAGACCGAAAGCAGAGCAAGTGATGAAGGTTCTTCCGCTCGAAGCGCCATTGCCGGAACTTCCACATGACCGGCGGTGGTACGATGATCCATTGCCTCAAGGCAATAATTCAAGTCCTTCAGGTGGACTACTACTGCCTGAAATTTCGGAAAGACTTGCATGATTGTACATTTTCCATAAAATTAACCATAAGCAATTTAAAAAGTCCACTTTACTACCCGCGGCAGGGGGAGGAGGGCATGCGTTCTAGGATAGATGCTAAACTGATAAAGATAATGAAATGATAAGAAGAGAGAAGACAAGTGTTCTAGTTTGCAACGCTTGGCCTAATTGACCAAAATGAGGCATGTGGTAGTCAAGAATTGGTCAGTAAATGACCATTTGGGACCAAAATTCAAACGAGAAACAACTCGATAGATTTTGTTAGATTAGTCGGAAATGCTGGTCTCTGTGGGTCAATAAAAGGCACGGGAAACTGCCCGAAGAGGCGTTCTCATCCCTGTCGTTTCTTATCACTCCTATCTTTTGCATATTCGGGGTACCCCTTCATGCGCAGGTTAAATTTCATAGGGCACTTGGAAATTTTCGATCATGAGGATTTGCACGACGATGAAGAGCAAGGGAAGAAAGAACTCAAGTACCCGAGAATCTCCTACTTGGAACGTGCAACATTCTCTACTCAAGCAGAATATATGCACTTTTAACTATTGAACTACAGCCACGCTTGAAAGTTGTATGCTTATCGATTTCCCTTAACGTCATGTTGCAGATACATTATAATATGAACTAGTCAGGCAAAATAATCAGCAAATTACTGTCTACGCTACTGACCAAATCCAACACTATAGTGCCTTGAATAAAGAAAGAATGTTTGCACATTTGAATCAGCAAATTGCGTTAAGCTTTATACGCAACCATTCATTACCAAACCGCGGTGAATTAGTAGTAAAAAAAGGTATCATTCTCTTCGTCTCGTCGAGAAGTATGATTTTCGTTTTTGAATCACTTGGTTTCGTTGATTATTGAAGAAGTTATGAACGTTTAAAGTTTATCCAGTTTCCGACGAGTTTTCCAGTTTTCTCGCGGACCAGTCACCTTTGCAGCTATTTTCCGACCATATCCGGCAACTATTGAGCTTCCATATAGGTTTAATCTTATTCTACACGTTCATATCTTTATTTTGATATATTATGAATCGAATTTGGTTAAGAAACGAGTGAGTTACGAAGTATTGAAAATTGCCCAAAGAGTTTTTAACATAAGGACCAAAATGATGGATGGTGGACAATCTCAGGGACCAAAGTGATGTATTATGCAAATCTCAGTGACCATTTTGGCTATTTACACAATAACAGTAATAATAAAAAGGTAAGTGCCACAGTAATAAAAAAAAAAAGCAGTGGGTCGCGAAATTATCTATTATAAAACCCTAAGTTACAGTAACTTAAACGTCATTCGATTTCAGCTGAATTACTCATTCGGTGAGGGTTTCGGGGATGGGAGGCCATGCCGCCTTTGAGAAGAGCCGGCCCTGAGGGTGTGCAAGTGATGCCACCGCACAGGGCCCCCAATTCGGAAGGCCCCCGATTACAATTTTAATTTACCTGTAGATGTAGTATAAGTTTTTAAATTTGCAATGATGTATCAAAGCCTTCTCGTAGCCCAATTGTCTTCCGCTTCTTATCCACAATCCATGTCCAAGAAACTGGGTTCGACTCTACCGGCGCCTATTTTTTTGTGTTTTATTTTAATTTTTTGGGTATTTAAAAGCATGGTGTTTATTTAATGTTTTATTCTCCTCGCCGTCGCACTCCTTACCAGGACTCGAATCAATGGTAATGTGTCAATTGTATTCATTTTTTGTCGATTTTAATCATTATTCTGAAAATTAGGGTTTGATCATTATCAATTTGGGTTGTGCAGATTTCGTTTGATCTCTTAATTTGGGTGTGCATGTTTCGTTTAATTAATTTGAGTTGTGTAGAGGAAGCAAATAATTACTTGAATTAATCATATTTCATTTGGATAATTTGGGTTGTGAGGTGTAGAATCGAAATACAATTCAGACATTTAAGAATCTCAATCAACAGCTTGATAATCAATGGTTATATCACTAATTAATACTACGACTATATAATATTTAAGATTCATGCAGATCTTCGATTCGGTGGGTGGGATTGTTGGTTTAGAACCTTTTTTTTTTGGTGTTTGGATTCCGTTAAGTGATGGTCCAGAATCCTCTTTGGTGTCTTAGTTTCGTTGGGTGGTCCGAAATCCCTTTCTTCAGAGATGTAGTCTTCGACCGAACTGCGTCGCTCTAGCCCTGCATTTCGACGAGTTGTATGTGTTATTGATGATGTGATGGTTGGCATTATTGTTTGATGTGATTATGGAATGATATTGGTTATGGTTATTGTAATTATGATTAGACTTCGTTTACCATTGTGACTAATGAATATGATTGTGCTTCGTCGTTTGTCGGGTGCAATGCCCAACACTAACAACCGGACATACTTTATAGGACCCATCTCAAAAGATAGGAGTGATAAGTAATGACAGGATGAGAACGCTTCTTCCGGCAGTTTGCCATGCCTTTTATTGATCCACAGAGATCAGCATTTCCGAGGAAAGAGTGTATGGTCAGTGAAGAAGCGTTCTCATCCCTGTCGTTTCTTATCACTCCTATCTTTTTCATACTCGGGGTACCCCTTCATGCGCAGGTTAAATTTCATAGGGCACTTGGAAATTTTCGATCATGAGGATTTGCACGACGATGAAGACCAGGGGAAGACTGAACTCAAGTACCCGAGAATCTCCTACTTGGAACGTGCAGCATTCTCCGCTCGAGCATAATATATGCACTTTTAACTATTGAACTACAGCCACGCTTGAAAGTTGTATGCTTGTCGATTTCCCTTAACGTCATGTTGCAGATAAATTATAATATGAACTAGTCAGGCAAAATAATCAGCAAATTACAGTCTACGCTACTGACCAAATCCAACACTAGAGTGCCTTGAATAAAGAAAGAATGTTTGCACATTTGAATCAGCAAATTGCGTTAAGCTTTATACGCAACCATTCATTACCAAGTGAGTTGAAATTCAGTTAATACAACAGTTCTAATGAAATTACGTTACTACTACGTACATTTATTAGAGTTGATCGATCGAGATTAAAGAGTAGAATACCCATTCCCAAGTAATACAGCTATTGTTCTCAACGTATTCAGATATGATTTTTCAGTTCCATGCCATGACAAACTGCAACAACAAAACCTGTATGTTAGTCAATGCAGAGTTCAGGAACCTCAATAACCCTTCGCGTGCTATAAACACATACTATTCCCTAATCAATCACAGGCAAAAACACGAGGGTGACGGAGGATGTGAGAGAAATTCAGATCCCCTGTCATCCACATATATTAGAGATAAAAGGGTTATCCCATTCGATTTTGGATTTAACAATACTCTTTGACACATAATATATAACCCTTAGTTGGGTGCATTAATTTAAGCCTTATCAAGGGATCCATCATCTAGATCCAAGGGGAGAGCAGAGAAATTGAACAAGTCAGAGAGAAACTATCAAGTTAAATAACTCACTGGAATCAGAACCCACAAACAGTAAATGAAAAAAAACTCAGTTGCGTACCTGGCCTGTTTCAGAAACTGTAGTTTCCGGTTCTTCATGCATAACAGCAACCAAGCCAGAAAGAGTTGAGTTCGTGAAACTTACATCAGCCTCGGTATCATCCATGCTCAGATCATCATACCTACAAAATGACAAGCAGGGAATGACGACTTCGCCTAGGATAAAGTACTGGGAATGTACAAAAAGGATACGAAACATTTAGAATTCAAAAGACACCATAATGCATGAAAGAAGGCATACGTATATTGAACAAAAAATGGCTGGTCACAGCCGTATATAATGTGCTAACAAATACATAAATGCAGATCAACGTTAAAGCCAAAACTAAAGAGGGAGGAAAGTCAGAAAACTTTTGCTCACATGATGAATGTTGAGTAAATACTGGCATCACGAACTACAAAGTCCTGCATGTTATAGTCTTCGACAGCCTCTAGAACTGCAGTGACAACTGGACCGTCGGTAGAGTTTGAGACGGATACTTGAAACACCGCTACACGTCCCCAAAACTCTTTGGAAGAGTTGGAAGAGGAGAAACCTGAATAAAGGAGGCACATGCGGCCATGATCGTCAAGACTGGTGAGATAGCACCCTCTGGGGTCGTAAAAGGGATCCTTGAATATTTCCTGTAGCTGATCTAGACGCTTTTCAGAATTGGTGAGCCCAAATGAGTCCAAGTTATAGGCAACAACTTCTGCTTCTCCGAATAAGGGCATGGCAATTAGAAAGCCATTGTACTCTACAGAACACATAAGATAGGGAAACTTCAATGGGATGGCATAGTCCCATTCTTCTTTTTCTGCATCAAAAATGCATGAAAAATGGCTGGTATTAAGATACAGCTTGCGGCCAATAGCATAGCGGGACATGATAGGGGCGCGACGGGAGTAAAGGGGGGGAGGGAGAGGTTTCCAGGTTTTTAACTCAAAATCAAAAGCCTCGAAAATTGGTTCAGTTAAACTATGACCAGTAAAGAGGTAGAGTGAATCTGTTGAAAGGACATAAACTTTGTTTTTATCCCCAAGGGTGACCACGATAGGGCAGGACTTGGGAGCAGAAGGATCAGGAAAGTTACTGTCCTTATAGAGGGTGTGGAATGTAGGGTCAAAGGTGAAGACATGGGAGTTGGGGTGGCAAAATTCAGGGCTACGTCTGAAAGACCTCGGGTCTAACTCCAAGTGAGGAACAATCCCAGGCCTGACAATCTTCTCACCCCCAACAAAATGCAATTTGGAATCCCTGATAAGTAGCCCCATCCGCATGGGAAATTCAGCATTTGCGTTGACAAACACATTTTTGAATTCGGGCCTCTTAGAAGTAGATCCCTTCTTGAATAATAATAGCTGACTGATGTTTAGGCTGCAAACTCGCCCATTAAGCTGAATGCAATAATAGCAATCTTGGTTCGACATTTGTATCTTGTCCTGGGTGGGATCAACGGTAGGAATGTGTGTCAAATAATGAACAAGATAAAATCAATCATTCATTCAATAGAATACTAAACCAATATTAATATCAACAAAACAGTCAAAGAGAATAATTTGTAGTATAGAGATGAAAACTCAAGAAACTTCAAAATAAAGAGAGAGAAAAAAACAGACTCCCAAGGATTTTGATTTCAATCAACAACAGAAAACCGAAAACTGGTCCAAACACAACACCACCGAAACCAACGAAAACCAAAAGGCATTTTACAATTATAAGATTCGAAGGAGAATAAGAAGATAACGATTATTACAATTGACGATAGGGAGGAAACTGAGAGCCATATCCAAATCATACAACACCAATCAGGAAAAAACCAGCAAATTAACATCTATACTAGCAGATGATAAATCCAACAATTATACTAACGCCATTCATGAAAATACCCCTACAACACATACGTTATTAATTATACTACTAAATCTAAAGATTATCGTATCATCATCAAAATAATCCAACAAAAAAAAAACAAAAATACCCCAAAAACAAGCACAAACCCTAAAGATTAAAAATATGCATAAAATTCCTAGAAAAAAAAAATGATAAACGGTCACTTAGATGACAGGAGAAAGGATGTACATCAAGGAAGGAGAGGGAAAAATCGGACGGTCTGATTCAGACCTGCCTGTTGAGATAGCTCGCTCAGTTGGGTTCCCGGCCAAATCACTCAATACCACACCTTAAGAAAAAGAAGGAGACGGCACGGCTGGCACGGATCGTCACGTCACCCTACATATATATGATTTTGGTTTATTAAGGTTTAGGAATCTCTGTGATAATTAATTGGGGACTTAAAAAAAGCACGAGCCAGAATTTATATTCATGGCTAGAGTGTTTGTACGTGGGGGAGGAAGAGGTTGAGATGTCGAGATTTAAGAGCATAAAACCTGGACAGAATCTTATAATGTGTAACCCAAAAGCACATCAAACCCCACATTGCCCTACTTGCCAAGCAAAAGCACATCAAACCCCTCCTCTATATATAAACCCTAAATATTATTGGCTTGGGACCTCTCATATTTTTCTTTCTTCTTTTGTATCATATAAATCTTCAATAATATCATTATTATCCTCTATTTGTACCACAATTTTATATCATCTTACATGGCACCTTAGGCGGACCACATTTTAAAAATAATTTGAATTTTTTTAATAAAAAAAAATTAAAAAAAAACCCTAAAAGAAAAAAACCTAAAACCTAGGAACCTGACTTCAATAATTATACATACGACCGATTGCAACAAAAATTTTAGATCCTCAAGCAAAACTTAGTAGTCTGCAACAATGGAGAACAAATTAAAAGAAAAAGGCATACACACCAATTAAACGAATCAATGCAAAATCAGTAGATGTTTGTTAATAATCAAACAAGGAAAGTGGAGCACCGATGAAAGGTGAAGGAGCATTGATTGAGAACTTCGTATAGGAAAAACGGTGACTGTGAAAGGGTGCGGGAACGAATGAGCATTGATTGAGAACATCTTGCTTTGCAAAGATGATGTTTCCACAACTCGAACTCATAATCTTTTGGTCTCAAAAGAACAACCTTTCCGTTGCTCCAAGGCTCTCTCTCATCAAATCAACCATTCATTCAATAAATTACGAATCCAATAATTAATCTCAAGAAAACAATCAAATAGAACCATTTATAGTATAGTATAGTATTGAGATGCAAACTCAAGCAACTTCAAAATAAAAAATACTCTCAGAAGATTTGATTTCAATCAACAACAGAAAACCCAAAACCGGTCCAAAATACAACACCACCTAAAATGCATATCACACAGTAATAACAATTTACGCAACGCATTTGCCGAGTGTCATAAAATTTGAGAAAGAACCATTCGGCAAAAAGAATGAATTGGGTGCCTCTTCTTCTTCAAATCAAAATCCCCTGATGCGATATTTCTTATACAATCATAAGGCTCGAGGAAGAACAAGAAGATGAAGATTATTACCATTTACAATGGGTGAGGAAACCGAGAGCCTCAGCCAACTCATAAACAGCACCATTCAAGAAAAATCCAGCAAATTAACATCATTCACAAAACTGAACGAACACATGCAATGACCATTACACTTACAGTCTCAGTCGCGGAACACACCTGTCCAAAGCCAGAAGGAGTTGAGTTCGTGAAGCTTGCATCAGCCTCGGTGTCGTTCTTGTTCAGATTATCATACCTACAAAATTAAAAGGGTATGTTTGCTTACATGATCAACGTTGAGTAAATAGTGGAATGATTAACTGTACAAGTTAGAACTCCCCTTTGACCCGACTAACAACTCCTCTTTAACTGTTAACCCTTGTAAATTTTAAATTTAATAAGTCCTTTAATTTCCCTTCATTTCACAAACGGTACAACTCGTCCAAAACTTTTGTAAAATTACAAAAATTATCCAAAACAACTTCAACACTTTTCAGTTGAGTCCAACCCGTGGGTCAAATGTCCAAAATAGCCTCGGCATTTCTTGCGCTTATAAAACATGCGCCCCCTCCCTCTCGGACAGAGATACCGGATCTCCCCATCAAGTCTTAAGGATCCGGAAATCCGAACTCTTGAAATTTAATTCAATGGCTACAATTATTATCACTTTAGAAGAGCTTCTCTATTTGTAGCATTTGGATTAAATTTCAATGGTCAAGATCTTCAGATCCTTAGGATTTGGTGGGGTGAGAGTGGCGGAGCTAGGATTATATAACAATGGGGTCATGATAAGTAGGTGTAAAATTAAGCATATTTTTGTTTATAGTTTGTCCACGTAGTAATATCGTATTTTTTGTTTATATGTAAAGCGCTAACAAAAAGTAAAAGAAAACATCAAGCACGACACATGACAATAAGCCACGAATCAAGAAGTCAATACATCCAGGAAATATGCAGTCAAGGGCAGAAGTGGAAATAAGAATACGAGTTTTTTTTGGGTCAATTAATAAGAATTTGAGTTAAGCATATTGTAAGGGACAGAGGAAATCTGAATTAAGAAGAAGATGCACCACAAAAGAAGAAGATAGAGGAAAGAAAGAAGAAAATTGAAGCAGCAAGAGCAGAGAGAAGACCGTTGAGAAACAAAAAGCTAACCTACAAACCATTTCTTTCCCAAACTAGTAGGGGTCAAGACAAAAAAACAAGAGGGAAAACATTGGGTTATTGGGGTCATGTGAGCTCAATGACCCCAGTGTGGCTTCGCTAGTGTGAGATCCAGCTGGGATCTCTGTCCCTCCCTCTCCTCATTCTTATGCCAAAAGAAACCCTAGCAAGTACTAGCCGCGCCGTCTCCCTCTCCTTCTCTTTTTTACCGTAACAAAACCCTAGCAGCCTCACCTTGTACTTCTCTTTCCTTACCTCAACAAAACCCCTACCATTCGACCTTCCCCTTCTTTTTATTCTCTCATTCACGGTTTCAACTTTCACAAGCTTGATGTCTAAGGATCTAGACACATGGAAGAAATGACTCCGTAATGATTGAGAATCTGGTGTACATCCAAGAAGACCGGTTCAGTTAAGGTATCCTTTTCACGCAATACTTCCGTTTCGATATCTGTTATTTCGTTAATATGAAACTCTTATTTTATTTTGAAACATGTTTCAAAAAATATCAAACTTCTCAACAACTTTAAAGGGCTTTCAATTAGTTGTTTATTAATATAAGTATTAGAAATCGATTCACGCCAGCTATTAGATGACAAATTAGAAATTATCACATTCATTTACTTCTAGAGGATCACTCCCTATATTTAAAAATAATAATTTAAATTTAGGGGTGTGCTATCCACATATCCTATTTTACTTCTTATACATACCCCTTATTAATTTCAATCTGTTGATTTTCTTCAATTCATCTAATCCGATGATAAAAAATTAGAAGGATGTGTGAAAAGTAAAATGAGGTGTGTGAATATCACACCCCCAAATTTAATGCTTAAATAATCATCGAAAATCATAATTAAAAAGATAAAACATCTTTTTTTAAACATATATTATAATAAACATTATAATTGTCCAAATTGAATCCGCCATTGCCAAAATTTTTAAAACGTTTCTCAATTTTCGAAAGATAAAAAGTCATGATATCGCCATTTGCTCTTTTAGAAATAATTAGCCCGGTACACTAGCATCAAACATCCCGCCGACTTGCTTTATGTTTAATGTTCCGCTCTTCTAATTTCTAAAAGAGCAAAATGCCGAAATCGTGACTTCTCGGGTGCGAAAATTGAGAACGTTTTTAAGTTTTTACAGTGACGAATTTAATTACGACAATTGTGTTGTATATTATAATATACAATCGAAAATAGATGTTTTATTTTTTTTTAATTATGATTTTTTGGTGATTAATTTAGTAATTAAAATTTCAAATTATTTTTTAAATATAGGGGAGTAATCATTTTGCATTGTTTTAGAGGTGAATGAATTTTAATTTTTCCAATTTGTCATCTAATAGCTAGGATCATTGTTGGATCTCTAATACCTACAAGTAATTGAATTGCCTTTAATTATATGTCTTTGGAGAAATTTTGATATGTTTCAGAACATATTTCACAAGAGAATAATATTATGGAGTTTCATATTAATGAAAGAACAGAAGCCATCTCTTGAACACATGAGGGAAACATATCGCTTAGTGAAAATGATAATTGAGCGTGTCTTCTTGGATATTAATCACCCAAAAAGGTTCCTTATGTTAGAGTTCATAGCTTTTGGTATTTAGTTTTATGAAGGTTTTGAGTGTTTGGGAAGAAGGAAAATTGCAGAGAAAATGCAGCTATGGTGCTGCGAGAGTGATGAAGGTTCTGACTGTATTTCACACTCCACTAACCAAATATAACCATTAGAGAGGAGAGAGAAGCGAGATTCTTCTCTAACAACTTTACACCAAGATTAAATCCTAACATTTGATTCTATCACCCTATGAGGTGAGTACACTTGTCATAATCTATCACTTAAATCTTAGGCTAGAGAAGAGACCACTTGGACTATGATTCAATGGCTCAGATTACATCAGAAAATAAACATATAAAAAGAAATTCAAAACTTGTGACTTTGCTTCCAAGATACCAGCTCAAGGGTTATACATCAACACCTGAACTACGTACTTGTCTTTATATTGCTAAAGTTTGGAAGCAATCTGCTGAACAGTAGGTGGACAAAACGAAATTTAATCGGGTTATAATTTCTGCAGTTTTGATTGTATGAACATTGTTTCTTTTTATGTTTTGATAGGAATTTGTATGAGTATAAACATGCCATTATATTATATCAGTTTCTCCCTTTCAATGCAACCTGGGATGACATCATTTAACATTTTAGTCATTCTTTGGGGGCAGTTCATGCAAAACCCTTCGGAATAATCTTCACAAAACAATCTCGGTAAGACTCTCAACATGTACTCAATATTTGATTGATTATGTACGCTATAGCTCCATATAATAATCTGTTTAGGTCATACAGAAGATGATTCAACTGTATTTGACATAGCAGTATGAAAAAGGCGACTAGATACAGCATTTGCTACCGAGGGTCAAAGATAATATCCAATACATGTTCCTCGCAGATACAAGCAAACGTCAATGCCGGAAAAATGAATTTGTGTATGTTGAGTTGTCACCAAAATCATCTACTGCAATTGGGGTAAAACACCATCGAAAACAGCTGGGTTTAGACAAAAGTTTGAGAGAAACCCAAATATGTACACTAAATTTGTAGTTTGCGTTATGTGGAGCGAAAAATAATCACAAGGCGACACGTGGATCTTTGGATAAAAAAGGACAAGAATACCCTTGAGGCACATGGGATTCCTACGCGCAAGTAGCAAATAAACATCTTTAACCAAGTCAGAAATGCCCAAAATAGGTAACAATTCAAAACCTATCTCATTTCATATATTTTTACCTCACTTTCCCTCCTAGCCAAATAATTAAATAACCATTCTATAACCTACCAAATATTCCACATAAATCGAGTTAATTGACAAATTAATGGGGTTATTACCTAATAAACTCATTAATTTTCAATTAAATTATCAATTAAAAGCCAAAAATCACCCTAAAAGCCGTTGGTCCTTCTCCAAAATGGGGGCCGGCCATTCCCTTTGATTTCCTACCACAATTTGCCTTTTTTACATTGATTAGCTAATCTTTTCAACCATTATTTGATTGATTAGCTGATCATGCCATGAAAGTCATAAAAACATTCCCTTTATATTGATAATTAACCAATTAATATATTATTCTTAATTAATATATTAATTGCTAAATTAAGCCACCTCCTATCCCTATATATGTGCTCCCATTTCCACCAAAAACCCATTCCAACACTTTGGCAAAAATCTCAAAATTCTCTAAACATTTTTTCTCTCTCTAAATTCTAACTTTGGCATCGGAGGTTCTTCAGCCAAAGCCTCCCCCATTCATCGTGGGCGCGTGAGGCTCTTGGCCTTAACCTAAGGTGTTAATTGTTTTGTAGGTGCAAAATTGTCCAAGATCAAGGAGGAAGAAATTTGCATCCACACGTTAGACCACTAGTATAAAAACATGTTTGCGCGACGGAGAAAATTTTGTCGCGCAAAGTATGTTTGCGCGACGGAAAACACAAAACGTCGCGCAAACTGCCTTTGCGAGACGTAACTTTGCGCGACGCCAACCTTCGTCGCGCATAGTTACGCTCGCAAAGGCAGTTTGCGCGACGAAGACTGTCGTCGTGCAAAGTTTTTTTTTTTTTTGTTCTTGCATTGTCTTTTTCTTTTGTGGTATCCACATGTGTAAATGTTTTAAATTGATGATCAAATTAGTTCATTGTATTCATATAGGGTTAAAGAGTGTAGCTGTAAAAAATCATCAAAATTGGAGTTAAAATAACCGTTAAATCGTGATTTTTCGTTTATAACCGTCGAAAAGTTTTGTCCCGTTACTTGATCTCTGAATTTTTTTTTTGTGATTTTTGGTATATGCAATCTCGAAGCATATACAAACAAGTTTGATGGTTGGATCGTTCAAACTAGTTTCGTACAATACGTTTCCCATCAAAATCAATGGTATATGTATTTACTAAGTATATTTTCATTTATTTATTTTGTACTTATAAGCAAAAGGCAAAAAAAAAAAAAAACTTTTGCGCGACGTAGCGGTACCTACGTCGCGCAAAGTCTTCTATTTTTTTATTTTTTTTATTTTTTGGGTTCTTGCATTGCATTTTTCTTTTGTGGTATCCACTTGTGTAAATGTTTTAAATTGACGATCGAATTAGTTCATTGTATTCATATAGATTTAAAGAGTGTAGCTATAAAAAATTATCAAAATCGGAGTTAAAACTACCGTTAAATCATGATTTTTTGGTTTATTGCCTTCGAAAAGGTTTATCCCGTTACATAATATCTGAATGTTTGTTTTTTGTGATTTTTGGCATATGCAATCTCGAAGCATATGCAAACAAGTTTAACGGTTGGATCTTTGAAACTAATTTCATACAATGCGTATCCCATCGAAAAGTTTTGTCCCGTTACTCGATCTTTGAATGTTTGTTTTTTTCAATTTTTTGCGTATGTGATCTCGATGCATATACAAGCAAGTATGACGGTTGGATCCTTGAAATTAGCTTCATGTAATGCGTATCCCATCAAAACAATAGATTCACTAACACTTAGAGTTTATTTATAGTTTTATTAAGTATAACATAGAGATTTTGTGGTATCCACTTGTGTAAATATTCTAAATTGATGATCGAATTAGTTCATTGTATTCATATAGGATCAAGTACTATAGCTATAAAAAATAATCAAAATCGGAGTTAAAACTACCGTTAAATCGTGATTTTTGGTTTATAACTGTTGAAAAGTTTTGTCATGTTACTCGACCTTTGAATGTTTGTTTTTTTCGATTTTTTGCGTATGTGATCTCAAAGCATATACAAACAAGTTTGACGGTTGGATCCTTGAAATTAGCTTCATAGAATGCGTATCCCATCAAAATGATAGATTCACTAACACTTAGAGTTTATTTATACTTTCATTAAGTATAACATAAAGATTTTGTGGTATCCACTTTTTGTAAATATTCTAAATTGACGATCGAATTAGTTCATTGTATTCATATAGGATCAAGGAGTGTAGCTGTAAAAAATCATTAAAATCGGAGTTAAAGCTACCGTTAAATCGTGATTTTTCGTTTATAACCGTCGCAAAGTTTTGTCCCGTTACTTAATCTCTGAATATTTTTTTTTTGCAATTTTTGGTGTATGCAATCTCGAAGTATATACAAACAAGTTTGAGGGTTTGATCGTTCAAATTAGTTTTGTACAATGCGTATCTCATCAATTTCAATGGTATGTGTGTATATATATTAAGTAAATTTAAATTTATTTATTCTGTACGTATAACACTTAAGAAATTGAAAAACATTTATATTTATTAAGTAGCTTTAAATTTATTGCAATTGTTATAACAATATATTATTGTGGGTTTTATGGAAAAAAAAATTGAATTTGAAGGCAGTAAAATTACTTTTTCAGTACATTTTATAATATTTATAAAAAAAAAATTACCTTGCGCGATGCCACGTGTTCTCGTCGCGCAAAAACCCTTTGCGCGACGTCTAAAGGTAAACCTGCGTCGCGCAATGTGTGATAATTTTGGCGGTGCACTTGTTAAAAATAGGCGCTTTGTTTAAATTTTCGCTATCTGTGATAAACCCAAACTCTCTCCTCACTCGGTCTCCCGAACTCTCTTCTCACTGAACTCTCTCTTCTCACTCCGTCTCCCTCATCCTCTCACGCAGGTGAATCACCCTCTCGCTCATATCGTCCTCTCTCTCCCTTTCCCTCACTCGGTCTTTCTCTCCCCAAACATGAACCCTCCCTCTTTCTTTCCCTCTTTATTTCTGAGTTGTGATAAATCTGAACCCTCCCTCCTTCTTTCCCCTTCTTTCGAACCCAATCTTGAACCCTCTTTTCCCCGTAGACCCCAAATCTCCCTTTCTTTCGTTCCCTCCTTCTTTCCCCTTCTTTCGAACCCAATCTTGAACCTTTCCCTGCAGACCCAAAATCTCCCTCTCTTTCTTTCCCTCTTTCTTTCCCTTGATTTACTGAAACAAAAGTAGGAAGGAGAAACTGTTTGATCATCAATGACTGGTTTTGTTAGAACGAGATCGAAACGGGTCACTTACCCGCTCGACGACCGGGTGAAAGATAGACTCGTAGGAGGATACAGCTCCGGACCTAGTGACGCCAGCAAAGGAAGCGAGCACTCCGGCGACTACGACTCCCCCTGCCTCTCCAAGCTCGTCTGCGACTGGGTTTCACGACAACGAGTCCGACTCAGAACGAGTCGAATCGGGTATTGGGCCGTGGAATGGACTTTTTAGTTTCTTCTTTTTCTTCTGTAGGTGTATGGGTAAGGAAGGGACTAATTAGGAACAAAGAGTGGGGTTAGGAGGTAGGTCCATATCTTCCTCAGTCAGAGTAATATTCAAATTAGGGAAAAGACAAGTCCTCACTATATTTTCTTAACATTTCCTTATTTGAGCACACTGTTAAGCGGCTTCTACTTGTATTATCTTTAATTAACATTTCCATTTAAACAGGCTCAGAGGATTGGCATGATCAACACACTGCAAGAAATGTGTAATGCTCCACTTGGCATGATCAAAGTTAAGGTGCAACTCTTTTTTATATACGCTACTTATCCTTTTTAATTCTTCCCATTGGGGTGGGTGCAGGCAGAATAAGCATCTTGAACCTTGACCATCATTGTTAAGTTCGGTTTGTTCTTCTTATGGTTCTGTAGCTTTAGTTGATGCTGTTGGTTCTTCCTTTCAATCATATTTAAATATACTATTAATAACAATATTAAATACAAGTGTTTGTGGTGGTTTAAGTGTATTGATTTGTACATTTAAGTACCCATCTCTGCACATTGTTTCTCATATCCTCTCTGATATGGTGGCGGGGATTTAATTTTCTATGTGTTATAGTGAAACAGATAATTCATTGGACACTCAAGTACCATTCCTCCCTTTGGTTGAGGTTTCAGTGAAGGCTTTACTTGTCATATCATTAGTAGCTTTACCTGCAGCTCCAAGTGCCGCAACACGAGTTTTGTTCTGTGCTCATCATCCATACTTGGTTGGAACTGCAAAGAGAGACGCAGTTTGGAAGGTAAATCTTTCTCTTGGACTTTTGTTATTTGAAAAAAGAAAAAAAAGTGATCTTCATTATGTTACTTGGTTTAGCAGGTTTTTCTGTTTCTCATTTTTAATCTGAAAGTCCCCATCTCATATAATGTAATCTTGACCCAAAAAAAAAATAATGACAATTGTTTCTTCCTCTTTTGAAAAAAAAATAAAAAATTGAAATGAAAAGACAAGAACAGATTTAAGAAGCAAGTAGGTCTTGGATGGCGAGGTACATGTCAACCAACACTCCTGCTGAAAACATGTCAATTAAGAAAACCAAGTACTGGAAGATTACTTCTCTTCCATGCAAGGCTCATAAAGTTTTTAAAACTTATTTGGAAACTGCGTCCATTAAGTTTTTGCCTATGTTTTGACAATAAGTCATGAGACTCTGAGAGTTAGGTTTTCTTCCCTCTTTTACTGGTAAAAAATATATGTTCATATAGAGTTGTGTGCCTTCCTATGTTAATTTTCATCTATTGTGGCATAGTGAAAATTCCGGTTGCATTTTTGAGCTGATTTGTTTGGTTCTTTTGGTCTTCAGAGGCAACGAAGATGTATGCATGCATGTGGTTTGGATCTCTTTCCAGATAAGTTCTGAGATTGTTCTCTCGTCGTTTGCTTGTATTGAGTTTGGGCATTAGTGAACCTATTTCTCTTTGTATGAGAGTCAAATTTCTTAATGCATGTTCAATCGTTGCCGAGGATGGTTATCATGGATGAGAATGGGAAGCAGGTAACTTATCCAGCTTTCCTTTTCTTACACTTGTGCTTCTAATCTTTTTCTTACACATGTCTACGGGGTTTGTTGCCAACACTTTGCTTGTATGGACACTTATTTAAGATTGATAAATGATTTCTAACGCGATGATTGTTCTCACATTTGTAGTTACAGTTTTTCTTGATGCCACTTTTGATTTGTGCATAAGGACTGTGTATGTTTGTTGACTGATGAAGTCATGCTTCCCATGCTGTATAATTAGGTGCATAAGGACTGTCTATGTTTGATGATTGATTTGTCCATGTCAGATAGGCCATGATAATTAAAGCTTTCTTAGTTGGATTGCAGGTATAGAATTTAATAACTGCACTAAGAATATTGTCAATGTGTTTGAAGATAGCTTGTGGATAAACATCAAATATATATCTACTTAGAATTGCTTTCTTACATGTATTTTACGATAAATAAAAATACGACATATTAACTTGCGACCAAAATAATCAAGATACACATAAACGGAACATCTGATCCTATTGGTTTAAAGCATAGTTGACATCGTTAATTAGTATTGTTTCTACCATTGCAATACTGCTTTATATATATATATATATATATATGTGTGTGTGTGTGTGTGTGTGTATGTGTGTGTGTGTGTGTGAACAAATGCAAGAAAGGATATGATATTACTTTGGCTGCTAATTGATTAGTTTCAAATGCAAGAAATGACTAGTTTCTAATGTTATATTTTTATTGTTCGGTGTATAGGGAAGGTGCGGGTTCGTGAGACGGGTGCCTCCTTTTCCAGATCGACCACAGGAGAGGTCAATGCCTTGAAGGAGGAAGTGACAACCCTAAAAGGTCAACTTGCAGCCCAGGGCGAGCAAATGAGTATTATTGTACGGGCCTTACAGATTTCCGGCCTCTAAATCCCGATGCCAGCACCTAATCTTGCTCCACCTTCGACCTCCCAGCCACTTCGCCCAGCCGATACATAGTAGTCTGATGTATCAAACATAGAAGACTACTTGTTGTAGTTTTTTCTTTTTTGTTCGAACATCTTGTATGTACATTTTCATATATTTTATAATTAAATACTTTTTTTTGTTTATTAATTATTGTTTAGAATTTACAATATTTATTAAAAATTAAATAAAAAATATTTTTGCCAAAAAAATAAAAAAGTGGTTTGTGCAACGAAGGAGTAACGTACGTCGCGCAAAGTAGCTTTGCACGACGTAGGATCTGCGTCGTGCAAAGTAGTTTTAAACCAAGCACAAGGTTTACTAACTAATTTTTTTTCTTTTAAGTAACTCTTTGGAATCGGTCTTATTACTTATTAACATAAGTATTTGCTTAAATTTTTATGCTCAAAAATAGAAGAATCAGTTACAAATATTGAACTGACCTAAAACATAGCCGGAATTGAGTTTGCAAGAAAAGTTTACCAAAAAGAGGTTTTAACTTTATGATGAATTTTGTAGAACTGGCCAAAACCGATTTTACAAATCCGGAGTTAATAGCAAACTGTGTTTGTGAAACATGAAAATTGTTGAGATTTCACAAGATATTTTGAGAGTTACTAGCTCCTCCTTTTTGTTGTAAATTGCTATATGTAGATATAAATTAGTGTTTTTTGGTCTCGTGATAATCATATGTAATATTCTTTTTTCATTCGGGCTTATGCCCCTTTTTCATTCGGGCCTAAACCCTAAAAAAATCCTACAAGTCATGTGGAACTGGTCTTCCGATAATCGCGCAAACCCTTTCAAAATTTTTTTTTTTATATATATTATATATAAGATAAAAAATAAATAAAATTACCAAAGTTTTGTTTGGTGCATTGAGGTAGGTATCGAAGAGATCCATTGTATCCAAAAACCAGAGACAGCGAGAGAGAGAGGCATTGAATTGCACCGCTATTTCGCCTCTCCTTCCTCCCTCTCTGTGTCCGTCATGTCGTCGACCAGTGCTTTAAGCTCCCGGCTTTCCAACTTCCACCTCCTCACCGAATCCCAGGACCACCTCACTTTCCGTAAGCTCTCTCGAAACGTATTGGCTCAATACCAGTAGTATTCCGCACAATTTTGTATGCAAAAACATTTCTCGAATTGCATAGAAATTATGGGGTTTTCGAAAGAAGATAGAACAGAAATTGGGTTTCTTTTTGTACCAATTTTAACCCCTTTTTATCATACACTTGAGGAAAAAGCATGGCTTTGGCAGTGTAAGAAATTACTGTTGGAAATGTTGGACCATTGTATTTGAATTCTGGGCATTGAAATTTGATGCCACTTTGCTGAGCGAGATTGTTTAGGATGTCAAACTAAATTGTGGGCATTGAAAATTTGTGAGCGTAAATGTTTGCGCTTTTTCGAAATTTATGCTCAATCTGTTAATCATTGTTTTGTTGTGCAAAAATGTTTTGCCTATTCCGCTGTGAGACGGGGTTATCGTGTAATTTCTGATGACAAATCAAACTTACTGCTTTATTCTGATTATAGGTGAAGGAGTAAACTCACGTCCAGCCTGTCCTTCAATTGTTTCTTGGCCTGGTATTAAGACTGGGAGGACACCCCGTTCGTCCCGTGTGTATGGCTTATTTGGAGGAGGGAAAAAGGGTAACAATGAAAGGGGTGATGATGCAGCTTCAAAGGTTTAGCATTTTCCCTCTTGTAGTTTGTTTTCCCATTTTTCTGGAACTTGTCTTGGGTGGACCAACTTTGTATTGACCATTGGAATTGCCATCTGCTGCATTGCTGTACCCGTTAATCCTTCTCAGAAATTTATTTCTTGCCCCTTGTATTCCTCTGTTGAGTGTGTCAAGTCAATACAAACTCTATTAAAATGAAAGGGGATGGTTGATTTTAACTTTTATATGCTTCATGTGGGGACACCAGATCAAATTTATATGATTGATGCAGTATTAGGTTGCAGGGTTTCGTAGCCCTTCCAATTGTAAGCTAAGTAGCTTTATGCAGCCCGAGGCTCACAGATTTTGACATTAGGCTGTCAACTGTACTTTGGTCGAACATGGTCCAGCTATGTTTTATTATGGATCACTATATCTTGCATCACGCAATTGGTAGCAGGATTTGTTTAGGATAAAGGGCAGTGGTATGGACGTCAAATGGGGTTGCCTAGTTATAATTATAGTCGAACTATAAGGTTGCTATAGTGATAGTGTTATCATCGTTTATTTGTCTTGTGTAATGGCGACATTGCAAGCTTGAGGTCGATCATAACTGGCCACTTTTGGTTTACTAGAACATATGCTGATAATGACTTTATGTTGTTTCTAGCATAATTGTGACTATGATCCTATGTTGTTTTCTGTTACAGTATCCCGAGTCTGTCTTAGTCCACGTGGAGCTAGTCCAGCATTCCTAAGAATAGAAACCTTGATTTAAGTATCAAGTTGATGTACTGTTATGTCTGCACTTTTGATGCAGGCAGGAGTTTTCAGTATGCAAAATCTGTATGAGACAGTTAAGCAAGCTCAAAATGTAGTACAAGTTGAAGCAGTGCGTGTGCAGAAAGAGCTTGCTGCGTATGTTCTTAAAGCTTTATCCAATTTCGTCCGATACTGATAATCCTTTCAGTGGTATGATTATTATCTCTTCATTCTTTCTTCTTTTTTTCCCCCCTTTTTCAGGGCAGTGTTTGATGGTTACTGTGAAGGTGAGATTATAAAGGTACGAATGATTCACTCTTGCGACAAGGTCAACTTTGGATATTTGTTCAGTTTGGGAATATAAGCTGGTTTTCTTGTGTCTGAATGGTATTTTAACTTTCACTTTCATAGTATCAAGATAATGTGAAGACACGGTCATAGTGTCGCTAGCAAAACTTTTACTGACCTACACAGATAACTTTAAGTTTTTCCAATCGGTGCATTTTAGTTTTATCAGCTCAGCTGTTCGTTAAATGGAACCTTCGTCTTCTCTCCCTGTTTACATATATATACTCTTGTCTCTGTTGCTCTCAGACTTGACAATCCTCTGATCTCTGATTTTCCCCTAGGTAACGCTTTCTGGTAACCAGCAACCTGTACGCACTGAGATAACTGAGGCTGCTATGGAACTAGGAGCAGAAGTAAGTCGTGAAAACTATTGTTCCCTTTCCCGTTTGCCAGAATGAGTTTCTCCTTAGGATAGATGTGATTTCTTTTCCTTTTTTATTTTCACAATGCAGAAAGTCTCTGAATTGGTGACGGAAGCATACAAAGATGCGCATCAGAAGAGTGTCATGGTGAGAACACAATGTGTTTCTATGTTTTTACAGACTGATTGATAATTGTGGGCTACTTTAACTGATAGTATTTGTGTGTACTTTCCAATATTCAGGCCATGAAGGATAGAATGAGCAACCTTGCCCAGAGTATAGGAATGCCAAAAGCTCTCGGTGAATTGAAATGATTTGCCGGTGCATCTCTATGACATTTAACTGTCCTATTTCGTAATGTTGAACTTTTTTCTTCGTACCTCTTAGTTTCAAGGAAAAATTGTTGATTCAAAATTTTCAATGAGGTCAAGTTTCAGTTTCAAGTTTTTATCAAGGTCCTTGGTATTAATAACATCATTAATTATTTCAATAATAATTTTTTATTTCTAAATATATTCATTTAATGTTTAAAATGTTACAATTAGTATATTTATATTTATGACTAAATTTTTTATCATATATTTTTAGTTTTATTTTGTACCCATTTTTAATTTGTAATTCTTTTTTAACTTGTATCGATTTTCTTTTCAGTTTTAATTTGTACCCATATATTAATTTCTTTTTGTGCCCATATTTTTTAAAATTTATTTGTATTTGTACCCTTTTTTTTTATTTGTACTTTTTATTTTTGCTAAATGTACCCATGCTAATTATATGTACCCATTCATGTAAAACTTTTTAATCTTATAATGTACTCATTCTTAAATATACCAATTTGTTTATATGTAAAATGTACCCTTTTTTAATATATAAAATCTATTCAATTTTTTTCTAATCCATTTTTAAACTTATATGGGTACATTCTTTTTTCTTTGATTTTAGAATGTATCTATGTCAAGTTTAATTGAAGAAATTTACTAATGTTATTAAGCCTAATGTCTTTTTTTGTGATTTTGAAGAATGTACCCATGTTTTGATACAATAAATTTTTGGCCAAATCAGATTAATAGTTCCTGTGGTGATAGGGTATTCGGAGGATTACCCATGTGGTAAAAAAAATTAGGATTTAATTCCTTGTGGTGAAGATTATTAGCAAAATTAACCTAAAAAACAAAATTTTGTTAAACTCAGTTAAGTATAAGGATAACAATGTCCAACGACACTTTAGATTTAATTCCTTGTGGTGAAGATTATTAGCAAAATTAACCTAAAAAACAAAATTTTGTTAAACTCAGTTAAGTATAAGGATAACAATGTCCAACGACACTTTAGCTGATCGCCGATCAACACATGTCTCCTCTCAAGCTGATCACCGATCCAGACAGAAGAAGCCCCGATTGAGATCGATGAAGCCCCAATTGAGATCGACGATGCCCCAATTGAGATCGACAATGCCCCAATCACGATCGACGATGCCCCAATTGAGGTTGATGATGTTCCAATCGAGAGTGACGAAGCTTCAATTGAGAATGAGGAACCCCTAATTGAGACCCACGAAGCCCCAGTTGAGGTCAACTAGTCCTAAATCTCCGGTCTTTGTAGGTCGAAAAAAGAAACATTCTGTTTGGTCAGGTTGTAATGGTGAGAAATCCATGAAAACCAGGAGACTAATTACAACTTTTGTAATTATTTTATCTAATTATCCAATGCATTTGATATTTTTGATCTTGGTGGTTATTGATTACAATGTTGTGTATGCAAGTTTTGTTCTCATTGTCTTGTATGATATTTGAATTTGCTTGCTTCTTGTCATGATCATCGTCGATAAGTGGGATATCGATACAGGATGGAGGTATTTCATCTTTTAGTTTTGTTCATGACAAGTGATTGAGCTTCCTGTTGTTTTTCGATGTACATATAGTAAATGGAGCAAATGCATTAGATTAGTGCATCAGTAACAAGAACAAACCTTTTGTTGACGACAGTCGAAGAGAGAAAAGCAGAAAGCATGCCCTTACTGACGACAGAGCGACCGACCGGAGTCGGGCCAGCACTTGCAGACGAGGGAGCAGACATCACGGCTGGGCTTGGAGTCAAGCCGCCGGAAGACCTCGACGATCAGCTCACGAGGAGACACCACATAGTATATTTATATTTTAATATTTTTAATCCCACAAATTATGTTTTTATCTATTTAAAATCTCATTTACATAAACAACTAAAATTTTTAATTTTTAATTTAAAAAATATAATAACGTACATAGAAATAAATTATCACATTAATTTTAAGCAATTTAATAAAAAAATTAAAAACCAACAAAATTTTAATCAAAGAATATTCATAACTAAAAACCACGTTCAAAATCTTCCTATTTATAAAATGATATATCTGATATTACGATATTCGAAATAGAATTACATAATATCTCAGACCCCTCTCTGAAAAAAAATTAAAGAATTAAACAAATAATTATACCCCCCACCCTCGCTCCTCTAAAACCAGAGAGTAAAAACTCCCAATGCCACCAGAGTCAGAAGACCACCACCCTGCAAGCTTGTAGCACCGCTGGTAGGAGCAACAGCAGGACCGTCAACCTCCCCAGCCGGAGAAGGAGCGGGAGAGATACCGAGGTGCTTCCTTGGAGTCATAACAACCACGACCAGCTTCTGCCCTTTCTCGCAGTGTCCCTTGGTTCCGCTGATGAAGTAGTAAGGCCCCGGCTGGTCGAGGTGGAGCTTGGTCTCGCCGTCCTTGTACTGCTCAATAGGATTTGAAGCATTGCAGTTGGTGTAGTCTTCTTTCGTCACTCGCAACACTGAGTCTTTGGCGCTGTCATACTTCCACACTGAAAACAAATTTACATTTTACAGAAAACAAAAAAAAAAAAAAAATTAGTAATGTGCCTAAAACAAAAAATGGTAAATCCCAGATGGGAATTGGACTGGGGATTTTACCAAGAGTGTCGCCGACGCGAAAGCGGGTGCTTTCAGCCCATTTGTTGAGGGATTGGGATTCAGAGGAGGGGACTGCCCATGAGCCATTCTTGCCGCCGACGGCGAACTCTCTGGCTTCCGAGAAGCTGAAGAGGAGAAAGACCACGAGAAGAGAGGAGTATGACAGAGCTTTTGAGGATGAAAAGCCAGCCATTATTAGAGAGTGTGTCTGCAAGTGTGTTGTCGGATTTTGGAGAATTTGAGAGTGAGAGAGGGAGAGAGAGAAAATTTGAGTCGTGGCTATGGAGTCTCAGCTGTGATGTATATATTGTCTGGGGAGAAAAAGTAGCCGTTACGGGGTTAGGGAAAACGTTAAAGCAACGGCAAAGAAAACGTTTATTGCAACGGTCACAAAGCATGGAAAGACTACAACACCTGGTTGCAGGGCTTGGGCCCTGTGAGTGCACACTAGCTGGATTCGAAATGCTTCAAAACGTCGTCGTTTTAGGAGGCGGGGGTACAGTACTACTTTGTGGAGCTAATACTCGTAATTGTTTTTTCTTCTTTGTTCTAATTCAATTACTTGCTTCGTGCAAAAAAAATTCAATTACTTGCAGACTTGTACTTGTAATTCGGTGAATGCAATATTTTCTTGATTTTATTAATTTTCTCAAGTTATTATTTTTTTTCATGTCGGGACCCTTGTGAGTTAATTATAAATTTCTATATATAAAATTTGGAAATTACGATGATAAATAATCATCTGAAAATACTATTCAATGATATTTTAGTTATAATTATATTCTAATTTGGTTCACATGCAAGCAATAGAGAGTTGGTCACATTCAAGCTATGTCAAGTGGTTCGATAAATTTGTAGAAGAATCAAAAAATACGGATTAAATGTTATAGGCACATAAAATTAGGGTTTAGGTTCGCAATAGGGATTTCATCAAGGTTTAGAGTCATACCAAAGTTTGGAGACACGGTGATTTTTTATTTTTTTTCACATGAAATAGTTTCATGGTAAGTTAGATTTTAATTTTTATATTTTTTCACATTGCATCCTGTAGTTTTGAAATCGTATATACCTAAAACCTTACACGAACCGGCTACGTTTCGAGTGACGGAGGCCTGCACTTGGTGCCATGCAACTTAAAACGTGTCGACAAAGCCTCTCCTATGCAATATTGCATGCAGAAACAAAGAGATAGGTTTCACCGTCTCAGCCCCCAAACAGAAATATAAGATATACAGAGAGAGAGAGAGAGAGAGAGAGAGAGAGAGAGAGAGAGAGAGAGAGAGAGAGGGAGACTGGAACAAGAAGAATTGGAGATTGGAGAGAAAAGAAATGGCAGACGCACCAAAGAGGTCACCTCCTCCCGAGGCTGCGAGGAGGGGCTTTTTGCTTGGCATGAGCACCACCACCACGGCCGTCACTGCCGCTGTTATCGCCGGTGCCCTTGGCTACTATGCCCTTTATGTGAAGTAAAAGCCCAAGGTCTGTCCTCGAAGGGTGGCAGACTCTCCACCTGCAGCTAGGGTTGACCCTGACGTCACTCGTCCCAGGAAATATCCTGATCATCGACCTTCGTCCTAGAAATTAAATAATAACTGCATGTGTGTTGCTCAAGCGATTGTGCCATAGTTTGTACTCGTTTATTTGTGTATGGTTTGTAGAGAGATCTTTCTTCATGGTTTATATATATATATATATAGCTCCCGCTCCCCAGACACCTGATATTTTTTGCATGTTTTTTCTTTTTCTTTTATGTTTAGCAAATTCAGCAGTAATTTGAACAAATAAAGGAGCCAGTTAACCCTTTCAGAATTGACGGCCAATCAAAATTGTCGGTGGTAATATCTCAAGTTCAATCTAAGTATATTAAAATTGATAATTTATGGAGAATAGTCTTCCACACTAAACACGTCTCTATCAATAATTAGAATCACAAAGAGGTCCCTCTCATTCTCAGTGCAGAAGATTTGATCTCTGTATCACTTAGATCCCGATTATCGCATAAACGTTAACAAATTCAAGCACCCAAAAGAACATGACCTGGTCAGCTTTTACTGGTTAAATTTTTTAGCAAAATGGGATGCATTTTGGAAACCCTTTTAACTGATCAAGGGAGGGAATCTTGGGGAGGGAGTATTTTAAGCTTAAGTCAGTTGCCAAAAGACAATTAATACATCCAATTTTTTGCACCTAAATTTTGAGAAAAGAAATACGACCATCTGTTTAGATTATATATTGAGTTTGTCTAAATTATATGTTATAGATTACATAATAAGGCGATTTATTAGATAAAATTGCTCATTAAAAACTGCGTGGTAACTTGAGTGCATTTTGGAAAGATATATGAGAATGTTAATTGTATCCTATTTACTTTTAAGATGTGAAAATTCGAACATAAAACTTCTTTCTGTCAAATCTAATCTAACAAACTAATCGATAAAATTCGACTTTAAGACCTCTTTAGCCTAATTCAATATGACAATTGATGAAATTCGAATGTGAGAACTCTTTCAGCTTACCTCTAACAATTTCTATGGAGAACTCTTGAAAAATAAACAAATAGGAATACTCTCTTGAAAGAATTCTGGTTCAAAACTGACCCAACAGGTTTCTGAAACCTAATTTTATTTTCACTCAAGAAATAGCACAAAGCTGAAATATAATACTAATAAATAAATAAAATAATGATTTTAGTTGTGTCCAAGCAACATGCACTAGTTGAGTTGTCGTAATAGCTAGGGTTACACGAACGCACTACGTGTCAAGTGACGGAGCATGCACCCTACACGTGTCAACAAGTCCAGTTTCTTCAAATGTTTGGAGTCACGGTTTCAACCGATTTACAGAAAATAGCATTAACACAACCAAGGCAGAGAGAGATGGCGGGGGATGAAGATTGGAGGAAAACGGCAGAGACGACGAAAATGAGTCCGGAGGAAGTGAAGAGAGCTGGACTGGAGGGAGCACAGAGGCCTCCCGGTCATAACCCCGGCGGTGTTCTTCACCAGCGACGCGGTCTCCCCCTTGGCCCTATAATCATGGCAGTTACCGGCTTCCTCATTGTCGGCACCATCGGCTACTTCTCCCTGTACACCCTTAAAAAGCCCGAAGCCACCGCCGGAGATGTTGCCAAGGTCTCCGCCAATGTTGCCACCCCCGAGGACACTCGCCCAAGGAAGTAGCGCCTCAGGTCCTCCTCAGAACTGTGTACTTTGTATTTTTACGTTCTTCATGTTTTTTGACATTCGAAGATGTGGCGCACGGTTCTTAATTGTAGCAGTAATTTTAACAAAATGAAATCACATTTTTGTTTTTGAATAATACTTGTGTTCATCCGCGCCCGGTCGGTTCTTAATTGCATCAGTAATTTTAACAAAATGATATTACATTTTTGTTTTTGGATAATACTTGTGTTCCTCCCCTTGATGCGTGGTTATTAGTCACTGTTTTGAGTTCTTGATGTACTAATTAAACTGGTACTAGTTTAGCGAATTTACCAGAATAGGATTTTCTACTCTTCAAATTTCCTCCCGTTGCTTCTCCTCTACTCACACTTTTCTAAGCCTCTCTATAAAGAAGTCACACTTTTCTGTCTTTTGATATAAAGAAGCTAATACAAAATGTTGACGTGACTTTATGATAAACTTCACAGGTAACTGAAGAAAATGGAGGAATTTCGGGAGGAGAAATTCCTACAATTTTTACCACCTTCAATGCATTTAGAGTGGCAAAAAAACATCCTTTTCCATCCCACTATTTTGTACCTCCTTTTCAATTTTTCATCAGAAAAGAAAGGGAAGATTTCTATTTATGACGATTTAAGAAAGAAGTCCGATCTAATTCGAATGTTGTATGCAACTTGATCTCCGCTCAAATGAGACACCAACAACGTGAGAGTTGCAGCGTCGTTCTCACATATCTGTCGGGGACAGCCATGATATCCCCATCCAACGACAAACTTTTTGGGTCCGTTTTATAAAAGTTAGCTCTCCGTCATAGGACCCTCCGTTTAAGAGTGGCAGAGAAAGTGAACTGCCTTTTACTGCCTTCCACACACTGTTAATTATTGCCCTCTTCAATTCATTCAAACAGACGGCCCAAAATTGACATGCACTGTTAATTATTGTCCTCTTCAATTCATTCAAACAGACGGCGGCGTGCAGAAGATCTAAAAGACGGCCCAAAATTGACATGCACTGTTAATTATTGTCCTCTTCAATTCATTCAAACAGACGGCCCAAAATTGATATGCACTGTTAATTATTGTCCTCTTCAATTCATTCAAACAGACGGCGGCGTGCAGAAGGTCTAAAAGGATTTGTGTGGAGTGCACTCCCATCCAACAGACGATTGCAAATGCAAGTAAAATCATGAAAATGGCAGTGTAGAACTAGTCTTGAAAAATAAACAAATAGAAATATAAGAAAATATGACCTTGTCGGCTTGTTGTCATGGTTCAAAATTGAGCACAAATAGGATACATTTTCGAAAGCACAAGAATCCAAAGTTAATTGCAAAATCTTACACTACTTGAAGAGATATTACCACCTGTTTGCATCTTCTGGGGAGGGGGGGGAGAGGAAGAGGGGATATCACACCTTGCCGAGCCCGTTTATTTGTCTAGTCGATCTTCACCGATGAGTAGATAAGCCTCGTGAACCAAAAGCAGGCGTAGAAGCCAATGGTTCCGGTGACAACAAAGAATGCATAAGATGCAATGAGCATGTATCCAAAGTATAAGAGGGCCGACACCAGCTTTGAGATTTCGAGCTTTGTGAAGAAGTAGAATGTGGCGTAGAGGAAGAGGTACAGAGCCGATGAGCCCGATGTGAGGTATGATCTCCACCACCACAAGTAATCCTCGCTGCACAACTGGAAGTAGCAGAGGACGATGGTGATCTCAGCGCATGTGATGATGAGGATGATGAAGACCAAGAAGAGGAAACCAAAGATGTAGTAGAACTGGTTCAGCCAAATCGAAGTCAGGATGAAGAATAGTTCGATGAAAACTGCTCCGAATGGGAGGATCCCTCCAATTAGAATCGAGAAAACTGGGTTCATGTACCAGGCTTGTTCTGGGATCTGTCTTGGGATTTTGTTTGTCTTCACTGGATCCTCAAGTGCTGGCTTCCTGAATCCAACATAGCCTCCCACAAATACGAGTGGGACTGAGATTCCGAACCATAAAAAGACCAGGGCAAACATTGTGCCGAATGGCACAGCTCCAGATGATTTCTGGCCCCAAATTAGAGTGTTCAGGACAATGAAAATGACAGAGACAGTTGCTGGGAACATGACTGCAGTCCTGAAAGCAATTTTCTTCCATTCTGTACCTTTAAACATCTTGTATAAGCGAGCAGAGGCATAACCAGCAAAAATTCCCATGAAGACAAAAAGCAAGAGCATTGCCGTCATAAGACCACCCCGGTTCGATGGGGAGAGGAAACCAAGGACAGCAAAGATCATTGTCACCAGTATCATTCCAAAGAACTGAACACCAGTTCCAACATATACGCACAGCAATTCAGAGTTATTTGGAGCTCTGAAAACATCCCCGTGGACAAGTTTCCATCCTGTCTCTTCTTGCGCTTCTTCCTGGGTCTCAAGTTCATTATACTTGGAGATATCACGGTAGAGTGTTCTTAGCATAATCATCGCTACCATACCCGAAAGGAAGAGGACAATCATCAATGAGTTGACAATTGAAAACCAATGGATTTGGTCATCACTCATCAGTAGATAAGCATCCCATCTAGAAGCCCACTTCACATCACTCTCCTAAACAAGTAAACATGAAAAGAAGTATCCCATGAGATGACTAGTTCCTCAGAAATGACAAAGTATGTTCAACACCATTTACATCAGAAATATTAGTTCAATGGACTTACGATATTAGTTCATGACACAAATATGATGCTACAATAAGTAGACAGTAGACAGTAGACAGTAAATTATGAGTTATAATTCTCCTATCTAGAAATACCGAGTAAAATTTTAAATTATAGAGCTCACCTGGAATTCAACATCATAGGTAAAAATGATTTCTTGCTTCTCGGCAACCTCTTGAGGAGAGTTAGAATTAACAACAGTGTGTTTCGAATGGGGGTCACAGGTAGTTAAACGAGTCTGTGCATCATTCCATTTCCCTTCGTATTCATGTTTAACACTGGACATTCAACAGTCAAACAAACCATATTACCAACTGACACTTTAGAAGGAAGATTCAGCAAGGACTCGTTCAGGAGAAAAAGAACGCCTGAAAAACTGACCTGAATGGTTTAACCTCAAATCCCACAATTCTTGCTGTTTCAGTTTGCGAATCTCTATGGTATTTCACAGTAAATGCCAGATGGTTGTGGATGAAGTACTTCTCTTCTTTGCTCTGAGCACAATAACATAGTGTAAGAAAGAGAAAAACATAATCCCCCAAACAAGAAAGTTATTTGGTGCCAACAACTATGGACATACCCCAGCATAATGGCCTTTGAGCCCAACATGGAATCCAAGCTGATAAACAGTAGGAGCTTCTTGATCTGGCCTTTGAATGGGAACGACTAGAGGTAGATTATCAAGGATCCTGCCATAATAAAAACAATTTTAATAAGAGATGCGACTTCATGTCAGTTCCTCTTATCTAATCTAATAGAATAAATCATTTAAAGGGTCAGAAAAATACATGTTCACTCGATACTCGTCATCTATCTTCTCCTTAAACTGCTTCACAATTTTGGCATCAGGTGTCAACCGGCAAAGAATGTTGCACATCTGAGCCTCCCGCATTTTAAACTGCAAAAATCCCATTGTAAGTTAATGAACATAGGAGAAACAAGTAAGCCTTAGATTTATACGAGTGCAATAACACTAACCACATAGGGGGAATTCTCAATTCGGTCACCACGAAGCACTTCCCCAAGATTCTCTGCACTGTCCACAATTTTCTCAGGTTTACAGTAAGGGAGAGAGTAAAATGAGTAAGGAAGCTGAGTCTTTGTAGATGTCAATTTATTCACTTTAACTTTCAAAACATCTCCCTGCATTCAAAGATCCAAGAGAACGAAATTAACACAAACATCCCCCGAGGCAAAGCAATTTGCTTCTCAGCCAAGTGATGTAAAACAACCTCGAAATTTCAAATCTAAATTACGAAATATTCAAACCATAAACAGCATTTGTAATCCAGTGAGACCTAAAGGACGGCCTTCTTAGAGTACTTGCTTAGGGCATATACAGATCGATATCGGACCAACCGAGATCTGATGTGCCGCGAATTAACATATTACATTACTCTAAGCATTAAAAGTATTAATAAAACACAGCCTAAGCAAATCGAAGGAATATGCAGAGCAAAAGAAAAAATATCAAAACCTACAAATCTCAGGATTTGAACTATGCTAAAGGTCAACTAAACCTAATTCGACAATCATTTCAATAGCAAACCAATCGAATTCACAACAGCCTATTCTCCAATCCTTCAATTTTCCTCCATTTTCTGAGCAACCAAACAGACGAAACCTAACACTAGGTCGCAGATCTGAACAGTGAACACACAGATCACTCATTTCATACACAAACACATCCAATTTGTACAACAACAAAAAAATCGAATTAAATTAAATTAACGGTTAGATTTGTCGGCGATTGAGAGCTGACCTTGATGAAGTCCTCCGGAGCGACGCCGGGGAGGTAGAAGGAGTTGGCGCCATGGACGAGAAGTAGGAAGATCGCCAGGACTACCGGGGATCTACGAGACGCCATGGCCTCCAACCGAGGGAGAGAGAGCAGAGGAGGGGGTGTGTAGATCTGGAGGACGAGGAGTCCGTTCCTTGGTTGCTGTTTAATAGTTGGATTCGTATTTGTCTGTTGCGTAGAAATAAAATTATAACTAAAAAAATAACAAAATTAGAGTTGAAGGAAAATAAAATTTTATAAAGGGGACAGAGAAGGAAACTGGAAGTTTAGAAGGAGGGTGGACTCGGGGGTTTAATCTCCTGTGGGATCTGGTGCGGTGTGATGCTTCTGAGTCGTATGTCTTGATTGCGCCACGTCAGCCCCTAAGTATATAAAGAAAAGATCAAGATGGTGAATAAGGATCTGTTTGGTATCTTATTTGAAATTTTTTATTATTTCTCAAAATATTTTTTAAGAACATTTCTTGAAAACAATTTTTTTTAAAACTCAAAAACTTGATTGGTTTGCGATTTAAAAGTTTTAAATCTTACAACTTAAACTAGACAAAGAGATCTAAAAAAAAAGAGCCCATGAGGGAGAAACAGGAGGGGGAGGAAAGAAAGTAAGATGATTGAAGGAAAAAGAAAGAAGAGAGAATTAGACGAGATAGGAGGGGAGACGAAAAAGGTAAAAAAAATAAGAGAGAGAAAGAAGAAAAGATAGATAAATTTG